CAAATAACGATAACTATAAGTTGATCCCATCCGGCTCTCAGAGAAATAAAGATAAGGTCCTCTCTATAGTCCAAAGGGCTGAGGTAATCTTGGCAAATTCCTGTAGGAAGTGAGCAATGATGCAGATAAAGTCTTGAGAATCGGGGAGGACATCTTATCTATCACAGACTCTTGACCCACAGGTGCTATGTCCAGGAATTGCAGCTGTTCGTGCAGGGGGCAAGGGCTGTTGTGGTGCAGGCTGCTGTGGAAATCGCTGCAGGGTAAGACCTAAATGAAGAAGGGATTCAGGCTCACATCTACAATCCCAGCACTCAGTAGACTTAGTCAGGAAAAACGCTAGTTGAGGCCAATGTGGAGTACACAGTAAGTTCCAGGCCAGCTTGAGTTACATGTGTGGATCTTTCGTGATGGGGTAGAGTGGGGTGATTGAGAGCTGGAGGTCTCCAAACCCTTCCTTTTAGAGCCCCTCTTTAGTTCCAGACCCCACCCCACCCCCTCCTGCCACTTGCAGATCAGTCTTAGTAAACCTGACCAGCGGAGACTACAACCCCCAGAACTTCCACATCCACGGGTTCTTGGGCTAGCCTCACTCCAAGAGTGGGGTTTGATGGCAAATGTACTTTGAATATGGCTGGAAAGTAACATGGTAACGTGCCAGGCAGAGCTAGTGTGATTTTTCCACCAATTGGGACCCCACCACTGTAGCGGCTCACATTTCCCCCTCCATCCAGATGCTTCGCTCCGTTTTCTCCTCGGCCTTCGGGATGCTTGGGGCCATCTACTGTCTCTCAGTGTCAGGAGCCGGGCTTCGCATTGGACCCAAATGCTTAAAAAATGGCAAATGGGACTACCACTTCCAAGAAACATCGTAAGTCTTCACCTGCATTTGTATCCCACATTTCCTGCATCTTCCCACCTGCTTTTCCCACATGAGTCAACCTAGGCCAGGTCAAGTTTCAAGAAAATTCCCTGGCTGGTTGCTGGTGCCTCACACCTGTAATCCTTAGGAGGCTGAGATCTGAGGATTGGGCAAAAAAGTCCCTAAGACTATCTCCAATTAACCACCAGAACACCAGAGTGGAGGTGTGGCTCAAAGTGGTAGAATGTTAGCAGGCCCTGAGTTCAAGCCCCACAAAGGTGTGGGAGGGGGGAGGGATATTTGCTTCAGCTTTGGTGTTCATTTGCTACGGAGGAGAGAGGGGTCAAAAGAGAAGAGAAAAGCCTTTCTTCTCAAGCCCACTCCTCGAATAAACTATTGCAAGCTGGGCATGGTGGTACATGCCTGTAATCATTCCCAGCTCTCGGGGACAGCGCCCAGGCCCTGAGTTCAAGCCCACAACCACCACCACCAATAACAAAAAAAAAAAGAGTATTCCCTAGCTGATCACTAGTGCCTCATACTTGGAATCCTAGCTACTCAAGAGGCTGAGATCTGAGAATTGTGGTTCAAAACCAGTCCAGGCAAGAAAATCTGTGAGTCTCTTCTCTCTCATTAACCACCAAAGAGCCAGAAATGGAGCTGTGGCTCAAGTGGTAGAAAAAAAAAAGCCAAGCGAGAATGTCAGGCCCTGAGTCCAAGCCTCAGTACCAGCACAAAAAAGAGGAGAGCGAGCTCCCTCCAGGTAGCCCAAATGAGCCCTTTGCAAATGCCCATTGGCATGTGCACGGGGAACATACCATGTGACCTGTTTCTCCCACATGACCCTGTGTCCATCCGCAGAGGCGCTTACTTGTACAATGACACTCTGTGGGATTGGTGCGAGGAGCCACCTCATGTGGTCCCCTGGAACGTGACACTCTTCTCTTTGCTGGTGGCCGCCTCGTGCCTGGAGATCCTGCTGTGTGGAATACAGCTGGTGAATGCCACCATTGGTGTGGTGTGCGGCGACTGCAGGAAAAAGGAGGTAGGACCACGTGGAGTTGTGCAAAGAACCTACTTGTTCTTAGCTGTGGCCTCATGAATTTTCTTTTGTCTGCAGGGCGATGTTCACTGAGGCAGACTGATGCGGATTATACTGCTCACTCCTGAGTGCCTACTCACTGGCTTTCAAATAAACTAGTTCTCATTCATTTGTTGATTTCTTTCTGGAATAAACTGTTTTGAGCTCCCTTCCCCATCTTAGATTGTGCCCTAGGTAAGGAGGAGCCTGTGAGGGCCTTCAGCTATGCCAGGGTTTAGGGTTCACCTGTTTGGAGCCCTTGAACTCGTTGTTTCTTATCAAATAGTTTTGTTTTTTTTTTTAGTCGGTCGTGGGGCTTGAACTCTGGGCTTGGGCGCTGTCCCTGTGCTCTTCAGCTCAAGGCAAGCGATCTACCGCCTGAGTCACAGCGCCACTTCAGGTTTTCAAGTGATTTATTGGAGATAAGAGTCTCATGGACTTTCCTTCCAGGGCTGGCTTTGAACCATGATCCTCAGATCTCAGCCTCCTGAGTAGCTAGGATTACGGGCGTGAGCCACCAGCGCCCCGCTTCAAATAGTTATTAAGGTATTAAATTGTGCTAAACAAAATACATTGGGGGGCTGGGAAGGTGGTTCAGTGGTAGAGCGCTTGCCTTGCATGCATGAGGTCCTGGGTTCGATTCCTCAGCACCACATAAGCAAAAAGAAAAAAGCCGGAAGTGGCGCTTTGGCTCAAGTGGTAGAGTGCCAGCCTTGAGCTTTACAGCTGAGGGACAGCGCCCAGGCCCAGAGTTCAGGGCCCATGACCGGACCCAAAAAAAAAAAATATTGGGAAGCAAGGGAAACAAGAGAGCAAGGACTGTACTCTCAAAGATGAAGAGTTGGAAAATGGATAGGTTTTGTTGTTGTTGTTGTTGTTGTTTTTGGGTTGTTTTTTCTTTTTGGCCAGTCCTGGGGCTTGAACTCAGAGCACTGTCCCTGAGCTTCTTTTTTGTTTGTTTGTTTGTTTGTTTAAATTAAGGTTACCACTTGAGCCACAGCATCATTTCTGGCTTTTTCTGTTTATGTGGTACTGAGGAATCAAACCCAGGGCTTCATGCATGCTAGGCAAGCACTCTAACACTAAGCCACATTCCCGTCCAAATGCAGTTTTTAAAAGAGGCAAGGATTATTTCAACTAATAGCAAACACTTCTTTTTTTTTTTTGTTAGTCGTGGGGCCTGAACTCTGGGCCTGGGCGCTGTCCCTGTGCTCTTCAGCTCAAGGCGAGTGCTCTACCACTTGAGCCACAGCCCCACTTCCAGTTTTCTAGTGCTTTATTGGAGATATGAGTCTCAAGGACTTTCCTGCCCAGGCTGGCTTTGAACCTCAATCCTCAGATCTTATCCTCCTGAGTAGCTAAGATTACAGGCATGAGCCACTGGCACCTGGCTGGCAAACACTTTTTAAAATCTGTTACTTGGAAGTGGCGCTGTGGCTCGAGTGGTAGAGCGCTAGCCTTGAGCTGAAGAGCTGAGGGACAGCACTCAGGCCCAGAGTTCAAGCCCCATGACCTACAAAAAAAAGAGAAAGAAAAAATAAATAAAATCTATTACTTATGACATAGATATGACTGACTGATTGATGAAAGGACTATTTTTTTTTGCCAGTCCTGGTGCTTAAACTCAGATTCTGAGCACTGTCCCTGAGCCGTAGTGCCACTTCCAGCTTTTTCTGCTTATGTGGTGCTGAGGAATTGAACCCAGGGCCTCATGCATGCAAGGCAAACACTCTACCAATGAGCCACCTTCCCAGCCCAGAATTATTTTTTTTTTAATGACAGAAATTCTGAGAAAGTGAAGTTTGAGTTGAAATCTGTTAGAAAAGCCACTGTTTGGATTTTGCAGAGGGCAAAAATGGAAAGTATGGGAAAAGATTTTCACCTTCTAAACTCTAGAAAATGAAAACTTAAAGACAGTATAGCTTTATCACTACTAATTTAGCAGAAATTTTCTTTCTCCTTCCTATCTTCCTTTCTTTCTTTTTTATTTTTATTTTTTATATTTTTTATATTTTATTTTTTTTGGTCCAGTCGTGGGGCCTGAACTCTGGGTCTGGGCGCTGTCCCTCAGCTCTTCAGCTCAAGGCTAGCGCTCTACCACTTGAGCCACAGCACCACTTCCGGCTTTTTTCTTTTTGCTTATGTGGTACTAAGGAATCAAACCCAGGGCCTCATGCATGCAAGGCAAGCGCTCTACCACTGAGCCACCTTCCCAGGCCTTATCTTCCTTTCTTTCTTTCTTCCTTCCCTCCTTCCTTCCTTCCTTCCTTCTCGTTCTTTTTGTGCCAATACTGGAGCTTGAACTCAGGGCCTGTATGCTTAGCTTTTTTACTCAAAGCTGGTGCTCTACCACTTGAACCACACTTCCACTTCCAGCTTTTGTTGATTGAGTGGATATAGGTTTATCTATGTAGGATAACTTTAAGTCTCCATCCTCACGTCTCAGACTCCTGAGTAGCGAGGATTATAGGTGTACGACACCAAGCACACTCAGGCCAGGCTAGAAATTGCTTAAATAGAAGTCCCTCGTGGTTCAGAAAGAAGACAAACCAGGCTTTTCATGGGGACCACATGTCTCAGATGTCCTCAGGCAGGGGCTCCCTTTATTTACTGGAAGAACATTCTTCAGGCCTGTGAGACTTGTAACGTAGATTCCTAAGATTAAATCCAAGTGTAGCCGGGCACTGGTGACTCATGGCTGCAATCCTAGCTACTCAGGAAACTGAGATCCCAAGATGGAGGTTCAAAGCCAGCCTGGGTAGAAAAGCCCAAGAGTATCTTTCTCATATTAACTAGCAAAAAGCCAGAAGTAGAGGTATGGCTCAAATAGTAGACCTCTAACCTTGAGCAAAAAAAGCCCCAACTGAGAGCATAAGGTCTTGAGTTCAAGCCCCAGTACTGGCACAAAGGAAGGAAGGAAGGAAGGAAGGAAAGGCAGGCAGGCAGGGTTAGGTGGGAAATAAGTAGGCCTTTTCCCATTCCCAAATCAAGCGACATCAAAGCCAAGACCTAGAAGCTTTAATAGCGGAGTGGGACTCACATTGGGTGGCAGAAGCCAGCAACAGAGTCAACTGTGGCAACATAATATCCGCGCGTCGTTGAGCGCAGTGTCATCGCGGAGGCCTCTAGGCTGCTCGATTTTTGTCTGCAGGCCACACGCGCCTTTGGGGCAGGGGTCACTCCAGTCTCCAAAATCTCCCCAGCTCAGCCCAGGCCCCTCCAGCTCGGTGCCATCAGAGCAGCGGAAGCGCACGTTGTTCACCGCGGTGTTGTCCTCGAGGGCCAGGGGCTCCTCCACACGAAGTGAGAAAGCCACTAGGAAACCACCACCGGGACACCACAGCGGCTCGCTCCACGCACCCCATCTGCAAGAGAAAGGCATATGCGCTGGCTCTGTGGGTGCCTACCACCCACACCAGCCCAGCCAGACCTTGGGATTTCCAAGCCGGCCATCCCCTCACCCTAAGTGACCCTGGGTCCCCGGTCCCTACCTCCCAGATTGAGACTCCACAACATGTGTATCGAGCGCTAGGTTCCCCCTAGTGCAGTGCAGCCTGATCCCGTTCAGAGCTGTGTCATCGCCAAGAGTGCCTTGAGGGGGCTCCACCTGGGTGGTGGGGAGAGGAGGAATTGGTGGTTACCCTCCTCCCGACAGCCACCCCAAACATCATCCCCAGTTCACTCTGCATCTTCCAGGCCTGAGCTCTTACCTTGATTGAGAACCCACTGGCAAAATATCCATCTGGACACATCTCCGGCCATGCCCAGCTGCCCCAGGGATCACCATTGGTTACTTCAATGACAGATGTGTATCTACTCAGACTATTACTGTGTGCCCACCTGTAGCCCATCACCCACAGCAGTAACAGCAGCTTGGGAGTACGCAGCTCCATCCTGCAATGTCTACCCACTAGACTACTTATGTTCATTTATAGTAGCTGGTCCTTATCAGTCTATCCCAGCTCCACTTACGGAAGAACCTCCTGGATTAAGAGACATTCAAAACTAATCTGCTATTGGATCCCCTGCAGACTGGACTGGTGACTCCAGGAGGCAGAGGTATCAAGCATGGGGGAAGGAGAGCAGGTGGGAGCCAGCAAGATCAAATAGCCACCTGGAGTTTACTATAAGCCACAGAGGCTGCTTAGTTAGCACTTTGCTACTAAATCCTCCTAACAACAGTGAGGAGATTAGAAATATCCTTCCCATTTGTAGGCAACAGGGAGCCAGAAATGACAAGTGGTTGCCTGGTGCTAATGGCTGATGCTCAGGCTGAGACAGGAGCATCATAGTTTGAAGCCAGCCCAGGTAGGAAAGTTTGTGAGACTCATCTCCAATTAACCAGCAAAAGCAGGAGGTAGAGATGTGACTCAAATGGTGGAGTGCAACTTTCAGTGAAAAAACTAAGAGCACCCAGGCCCTGAGTTCAAGCCCCAGAACTGGCAGAGAGGAAAGGAGGGGATGGAGGGAAGGAGAAAGGATGTTAGGGGAAGAGAGGAGAGGAGGGGAAAGCAGAGAAACATTCCATTATTGGGAATAGAAACCGGGACTAGAGGATCCAATTGATAATGTGTGATCATACATCATACTGAAGTAAGGAGGCCAGGTCTGGCCGGCGCCATATTGGCCACATGGTGGATGGTAGGGCCTGGCATCTTGTCTTTATGCTTGGGGAAGGGAACCCCCCCCCACACCATCACCTGTCTCCCAGGTAATGGGATGCCCAGACCCCTGGAGGCAGGGGCAGGCACTTGGCTGATAGGTTACTGAATCTAATGCCTGGAACTGGGAATTTCCTGAGGCTCTGCCCCCTGCACCAACCTATTTAGGCCCGGACCAGCCTAGCTGCCAGGACTCTATGCCACGTGTCTCCATGATTATGTCCTGTGTCCTGTCTCCTCGTCTCCAGTCATTATGGAGTCCCAATTCAGCTCTCCATTGGAGCTGAGATGGCTTGTTAGTATTGTTCTTGTTATTTCTTTCCTCTTTAGCATGTTTCCTAGCTGTGTGATATGTATTTGCATGCTGCAGGGCTTTGTAACAACTGGCAGCCTGCAGCCTGTTAACTGTATAATAAAGACTCCAATATTGTATAGTTTAAAATGTGGCTTCTGGGATGATTTTACCTTACAACAGTACTAGGGACAGGATTAGTTAGAAGCAAGGCCAGGATGAGGAGCAACTTCATAGAACTTGACTGTGCATAGAGTGAGCCTGAAGAAACCAAGAACTTGGGAGCTGGGAAGGTGGCTCAGTGGTAGAGTGCTTGCCTTGCATGCATGAGGCCCTGGGTTCGATTCCTCAGCACCACATAAGCAAAAAGAAAAAAAGCCGGACGTGGAGCTGCAGCTCAAGTGGTAGAGTGCTAGCCTTGAGCTGAAGAGCTGAGGGACAGCGCCCAGGCCCAGAGTTCAGACCCTACGACCGAACCCAAAAAGAAAAGAAACCAAGGACTCTAGAGACTGGGGCCCTCGTCTTCTAAGAATCCAGGACAATAAATGCAACCAGAGAGACAACAACAATTCTAAAAAGCTTATGGACTGAAAGTCTCTAAGAACAGATGAGGCTGTATTTTTTCCTTTGCTTTCTAGTCTTACTTCCTTTCCCAGAATGCCTTTCCTTTCCTGACCACCAGGTGGCCTCCTAGCTTACAAAAACAAAACAAAACAGTTGGATTTGTTAAGCACCACCACCCCTCATTTGCCTGTGCCTCGTCCACATTTCTTTGCTCCCGCCTCATCTATTTATTTAGCAACATTTTCTCCCTGGTAGATGCAATATTCTAAGAGTTTTAAGTGACCAAGGAAAACAAGGCTCCTATCTTCATTAAAGCTCACATTCCCGTTGCAGATACAGATGAAAAATTCTTCCCCAATGGACTTTGAACTCTGTGAAGAAATTTGTATTCTGTAGGATCATACCTTTCATGGCATGCAGAAGTAGTAAATTAGGATTCAGATGGCTCATGCCTGTAATCCTAGCTACTCAGGATGAGATCTGGAAGTTGGTGGTTTGAAAGCCACCCTGGGCAGAAAAGTCCTCAAGACTTCATCTCAAAAACAATGCCATGGGCTGGGAAGGTGGCTCAGTGGTAGAGCGCTTGCCTTGCATGCATGAGGCCCTGGGTTCGATTCCTCAGCACCACATAAGCAAAAAGAAACAAAGCCGGAAGTGGCGCTGTGGCTCAAGTGGTAGAGCGCTAGCCTTGAGCTGAAGAGCTGAGGGACAGCGCCCAGGCCCAGAGTTCAGGCTCCATGACCAGACCCAAAAAAAACAAAACAAAAAAAAAAACAATGCCATGTAGTACACCAATGTCTCATGCTGGTTAATACTAGCTACTTGGGAAGCTGAGATCTGAGTATCACAGTTCAAATTCAGCTCAGGCAGGAATGTCCCTGAGACCCTTATCTCCAATTAACTACCAAAAATTCAGAAGTGGAGCTGTGGCTCAAGTGGTAAAATGCCAGATATTACCAACAAAAGCTCAGGAACAATTCCCAGGCCCTGAGTTCAAGCCCCAGGACATGATGATGATGATGATGATGATGATGATGATGATGATGATGATGATGATGATGATGATGATGATGATGTCGTGTGCCAATGGCTCATTCTATACTCCTAGCTATTCAGGAGGCTGAGATCTGAGGATGGAGATTCAAAGCCAACATGGGCAGGAAAGTTTGTGGGACTCTTACATCCCATTAACTACCAAAAAGTCACAGAATAGAGATGGGGCTCAAGTAGTAGAGCACCAGCCTTGAGCAAAGAAGCTAAGGGACAGTGCCCAGGCCCTGAGTATAAGCCTGAGTACTGATACAAATAAAAAATTTAGAAGTGGGTATCCTTGGATCCCAGAGAGCTACCTCCCTCTGCCTCCCAAACTTAAACTTAACAAGTAAGATTTATGGGGCAATTATGGTCAGCTTTTCCACTTATGGTGTTTTCACATACATTATCACTTAATCCTCACACAAGGTTTACAAAATACCTATTATTATCCTCAATTTACAGTGGAAGGAACCCAAGGTCAGAGTTTATGTAGGGCACCCACATTATTGCTCAGCAGAGGGAGCTTACTCTGACCTCAACCTCTCTTCCCAATATCCAGGTTGCTTCTTCCTTCAAGCTAGCCCCAGACAGGAAATGCAAAAGTGTTTCATTGCTACCTCTAAGGTCACAGAGTCAGCTTGCCGATTAAAGCCCTGCCCTGTGTCCCTCCCTGTTTGCACAAATCTGTTAAGTAGCTGGCCCTGGTGGCTCATGCCTGTAATCCTACCTACTTAGGAGGCTGAGATCTGAGGATCACAGTTCAAAGCCAGCCCAGGCAGGAAAGTCCATGAGACTCTTATCTCCAATAAACAACCAGAAAACTAGAAGTGGTGCTATGGCTCAAGTGGTAGAGCACTTGCACTGAGCTGAAGAGCTCAGGGACAGCACCCAGGCCCAGAGTTCAAGCCCCATGACTGACAAAAACAACAACAACAACAAAAAAGTTTCTAATTCCCCATGTTGTATTGTTTTCCCAGTGTGACATACAAATTCCTGCCCAGTTGCAACAGTCTCATTACACTCCTTCTCAGAATGTGATCTCCCCCCAGTTCCTGTAGTCCACATAGCACCTTCCCAACACTTCTTCTCAGAACTGACTCTACCCCCAAATTCCCAGTCCGCTGTAATATGGCCCATGTGACCCAAATGACTGCCCCCTAAAATTCTGTTTAAATTCTGCCCACACCTGTCCATGGCTGCTGCCTCCATTCCTGCTTGAAGCAGCCTGGCAGGTCTGTCCTCCAATAAAGCTTTGAGTTTGGGCTGGGAAGGTGGCTCAGTGGTAGAGTGTTTGCCTTGCATGCATAAGGCCCTGGGTTTGATTCCTCAGCACCACATAAGCAGAAAAAGCCAGAAGTGGCTCTGTGGCTCAAGTGGTAGAGCGCTAGCCTTGAGCTAAATTGCTCAGGTCAGGCCCCACGACTGGGCTTGGGCGCTGTCCCTGCACTCTTCAGCTCAAGGCTAGCGCTCTATCACTTGAGCTACAGCGCCACTTCAGGTTTGTTGGTGGTTTTTGGAGATAAGAGTCTCAAGGACTTTCCTGTCTGGGCTGGCTTTGAACAGTGATCCTCAGATGTCAGCCTCCTGAGTAGCTAGGATTACAGGTGTGAGCCACCAGCTCACCGGCTTTACCTCTCATTTCTTTTTTTGGGTCCAGTCGTGGGGCCTGAACTCTGGGCCTGGGCACTGTCCCTCAGCTATTCAGCCCAAGGCTAGCGCTCTACCACTTGAGCCTTTTTCTTTTTGCTTATGTGGTGTTGAGGAATCAAACCCAGGGCCTCAGGCATGCAAGGCAAGCGCTCTACCACTGAGCCACCTTCCCAGCCCCTGCCTCTCATTTCTTACACTACCAATCCCCCAAATCTCTGTTCCTCACCTCCCTGGAGAGCTGTCTCTGGGGCAAAGGACACAGGGGAGGGAGCATTAATTATTAACCCTTTGCACCTCAGAACACCATAAGCTCCTTTCCTCTCCTGGAGTAGAAAGGACTGCATGTGGCTCGGGGCTGGGGAGGGGGCGGTGGTCCCAGTGATAGCCATGGTGGTTCTGCTACCACACCTGTGCCTGCAACGCTGCTTCCGCCTGGTTCCTCTCACTATCTTCTCCTTGTTGCTTCTTTACCTCATTGGGCAGATTATCTGTGAGTGTTCCCTTCCCCTCGCCTTCTCGGGGAAGAACCTAAGAGTCTAGGCCCTCAGAACCCAAACTCCCTTTTTTACCCCTCACCCCTCTTTTTCCGCTTCTCCTTAGGTCTCCTATTAGGCTGCAGGGCCCTGGCACAGTCCAGCATTCCAGATGGACCGCTGCTTTTCCAGGTATACGGGGGGCAAGGATAAATCTGGGAACTGCAGGTACGACTCTGAATAGTGATAAGGAGAGTCAGACTTTCCCCCCACCTCACTCCTCTCCCTTCTGAAGCTGAGAGAAACCCCAGCTAGACATTAGGAGCTTCCCCCCCCCCCCCCCCCTAGAGCCAAGGGGGCTGTTGGTTCTGCCAGCCAGCCTAGCATGCTAGGGGCTCTTCTCTGACAACTCTGCTCTTCTGTCTACGCCCTCAAGGTCCAGCCAGAGCTGGAAGCCCAGGTGGCCCCAAAGGGGGAAGATCCTGCGTGTCTAGGGCCTCAGGGAATGCTAGGTCGCATGGTGAGGCCCTTCCGGGCCAGTCTGAACCTCCAAGAGGACGTGGAGCTGGCTCAGTACCTGGCAGGGTGGAGGGAATTTCTCAGGTGAGTTGTCTCCCTCCTCTAAGCTAGGTCTTGGGCCCCCCTTGAGATTCCACAGACCTCCTTCAAATCATCGCCCCCATCCCATCACCAAACACACAGGTTCCTAACTCCTTTGGGTTCCATCTTCGCCTTCGCCTCCAGCGAGGCCTTCAGCAAGGTGACGGTCCTGGAGGCGCAGGTGCACGGCCCGCGTGCGGAGCACTACACGTCGCTGTCGACCATGGCAGCGTGGGAGCGGCGGGCCGGGCTCCTCGAGCCGCCCTTGGCCGGGTCCTCGGGCTCGCGAACGCTGCTCGTGCTGCACCGCGCCCTGCGATGGGCCCAGCTCTGCCTCTCCCGGGTGGCCACGGGCACGCTGGGAGACCCGGACGCCGGCGCGCAGTGCGCCGACGCCTACCGCACAGCCCTGGCCCCGCACCACCCCTGGCTGGTCCGTCACGCCGCCCGCCTGGCCTTCCTCGCCCTCCCGAGTCGCGATCGCTTGCTGGAGCTGGCGTGTCCGGGAGCCAGCGAGGCGGACGCGCGGGCGGCGCTGGCCCGGGCGGCTGGCACCCTGGAGGACGTCTACAACCGCACCCAAAGCCTGCTGGCGGGACACGACCTGCTCCTGCTGGCTTGAGGAAGCCGCGCGCCCGGGGAAGGGGGCGTCCCGGGGGGCAGAATCCCCGCAGCCTGGAGCCGCGCCCCCGGGACTGCGGGGAGCTGTCCATCTGTCTGATGCCCCGCCCTCCAGTGACGACATCGCAGCTAAGACCCGCCCCCAGCCCTCACTGGCCCTGGACTGCGGGGAGCCGCCCGTCGCTCGGATGCCCCGCCCTTCGGTGACGTCATCGTCAAAGCCGCACCCCCCTTCCGCGTATCCGCCCTCCCCGGATGAGCGGCGTGGAATAAAGTCACGGTTTGGCCTCTGCGGATGCAGGATGTTTTGTGTGATGCCGGCAGGCGCCTGCAGGAAATTAAAAAAAAAAAAAAAATGTCATTCCTGTTCCTGGCAGTGGAAAAACTCACGCTTCCTCAGGCCTAGTTCAAACACTCTGGGGCTGCCCAACCCGATGCTGAGTCTAGCCCAGACTCATCTGAACTCCACGGCCAACTCTTCTCTGGTCTCATCCACAAACACGCCAAAGGGGGCACACAGCGTGGATCCTACCACCTTCCTCCTCAGATCTCAGCCTCCTGAGTAGCTAGGATTACAGATGTGAGCTACTGATGCCTGGCTAAAATATGCAGTATTCTTTATTGTAATTTCATATGGCTAATTTTTTTTCTTTTTTTTTTTTTTTTTGCCAGTCATGGTGCCTGAACCCTGGGCCTGGGCGCTGTCCCTCAGCTCTTCAGCTCAAGGCTAGCGCTCTACCACTTGAGCCACAGCACCACTTCCAGCTTTTTCTGCTTATGTGGTGCTGAGGAATTGAACCCAGGGCCTCATGCATGCAAGGCAAGCGCTCTACCACTGAGCCACCTTCCCAGCCCCGGCTAATTTTTTTTCACAGAAAATAAATCTTTTCTTTAAAAATACATACTAGCTGGGCGCAGGTGGCTCACGCCTGTAATCCTAGCTACTCAGGAGGTTGAGATCAGAGGATCGCGGTTCAAAGCCAGCCCAGGCAAGGAAAGTCTGTGAGACTCTTATCTTCAATAAACCACCAGAAAACCGGAAGTGGTGCTGTGGCTCAAACGGTAGAGCTCTCGCCTTGAGCTGAAGAGCTGAGGGACAGCGCCCAAGCCCAGAGTTCAAGCCCCATGACCGACAAAAAAAGAATACATACTACGTGCTGGGAATGTGCCTTAGTGGTAGCATTCTTGCCTAAAATACATGAAGGCCTGGGTTCCATTCCTCAGTACCCCATAAACAAAAAAGCCAGAAGTGGCACTGTTGCTCAAGTGATAGAGTGCTATCCTTAAGCAAAAAGAAGCTCGGGAACAATGTCCAGGCACTGAGTTCAAGCCCCAGGACTGGCAAATATATATATACTATGGGGCTAGTGATAGAGTGCTCACCTAGAATGCTTCAACCCTGGGTTAGGTTCCCAGCACTGAATTTTAAAACTCTGAGGGATGAAAAATAAGATAAAATATTCAATGCTAGCTGGGTGAAGGATGGCTCACGCCTGTAGTCCTAGCTATTCAGGAGGCTGAGATCTGAGGATCCTGGTTCAAAGCCAGTCGGAGCAGGAAATTCCATGAGACTCTTATCTCTAATTAACCATTAGAAAACCAGAAATGGTCTTGTAAGAAATGAGAAGTGAGCCAGAGTGACCAATATGAGATCAAGGCTTTATTGGGGGACAGACCTGCCAGGCTGCTCCAAGAAAAATGCTCCAGCAGCCATGGAGAGGTGTAGGCTGAATTTAAACAAAAATTTTGGGGGTAGTCACCCATGGGGGTAGCCCATGGGTCACATGGGCAGTCACATGGGTCACATTACATAGACTATGGGAATTCAGGGATAGGGTCAGTTCCAAGAAGAGGTGTTATGAAGGTTTTACGTGGACTACAGAAATTGGGGGGGGGGGAGTCACATTCTGAGAAGGAGTATAATGAGACTGTTGCAACTAGGACGGGAATTTGTATGTCACACCAGTAAAACAATACAGCATCTGGGAAATAGAAAGTTAACAGATTTTTGTAAACAGGTAGAGACACAAGGCAAGGCCTCAATCAACAAGCTGACTTTGAGACCTTAAAGCCCTGTGACTCAAAATGGTAGAGCCTTGAGCAGAAGAGCTCAGGGACATTGTTCAGGGCCTAAGTTCAAGCCCTATAACCGAGACATACACACATTCAAGGCTAGCCCAGACTACATAGGAAGACCCCATCTCAAAACCAAAACATATTTCTTAGAAATAAACAGGTGCAGGCTAGGAATGTGGCTTAGTAGTAGAGGGCTTGCCTAGCATTCATGAAGCCCTAGGTTCAGTTCCTCAGTACCATATACCCAGAAACCAGGAATGGCGTTGTGGCTCAAGTGGTAGAGTGCTAGCCTTGAACAAAAGAAGCTCAGGGACAGTGCCCAGGCCCTGAGTTCAAGCACCAGGACTAGCAAAAAAGAAAGGAAGAAAGAAAGGAAGGGAGGAAGGAGGGAAGGAAGGAAAGAAAGAAAACCAGAAGTGGTGCTGTGGCTCACAGCATCCAGGCCCTGAGTTCAAGACCTACCACAGGGCCTGGGAATGTGGCTCATTGGTAGAGTGCTTACGTGAAGCCCTGGGTTCAATTCCTCAGTGCCACATAAACAGAAAAATCCAGATGTGGAGCTGTGGCTCAAGTTTTAGAGTGCTAGCCTTGAGCAAAAGAAGCTCAGGGACAGTGCCCAGGCCCTGCATTTAAGGCCCAGGACTGGTGAACAACAACAAATAGACCCACCACAGACTTAAAGAGAGAGAGAGTAAAGAGCAAAGACATGGATTTAATGGCCTGCACTTGTAATCCTAGCTACTCAAGATGCTGAAATTAGGAATATCAAAGTTCAGTGCCAGGGGACATTGTCATTGTGTGTGTGTGTGTGTGTGTGTGTGTGTGTGTGTGTGTGTGTGTGTGTGTGTGTGCGTGTGTGTGTGTGTGCGCGTGTGTGTGTCCATTTCACCAAATTTAGACAGAAGGAAGGAAAAAGAGAGGAAGAAAAGAAAAAAAATAAAAGAGAAAGGCTGGGCATAGTGGGGTAAATCTATCAGTCTAAGTATGCAGAAAGCATAAACAGAATCATGCTCCAGGCCTGGTCCCAGCCTAAAGTAAGATACTATTTGAAAAATAATAAAAACAAAAAAGGCTGGAGTTGTAACTCAAATGGTAGAGCACTTCTCTGGCAAGGCCCTGAGTTCAAAACTCCACAACTCAAACAAAAGAAAAAAATCTAAGAACTTGAATACACATTGCATGACTCCAAAGATCCACAGATTGCCAATTAGCACGTGAAAATCTGACCCACATCACTAATTATTAAGAAAATATAAATCAGAGCCACAATATAGCACTCATACCCACTATAATGACAGCATGAAAGAGTTAGTGAGGACTTCCCAGAATTGTGCAAATGAAAGCGGTGCAATTAAAAAAAAAGAAAGCGGTGCAATTGGTAAGGCAAAGTTACTGGTTCTTGGATAAGTGAAAATAGCATAGGGCCCAAGTAATTCCATCTCTTATGCTACCCAAGAAAATGAAAACAAGGCGTGGTCATTCCAACTCTCACTCTCCAGTGTTTACCACACTCCAATCAAATAGATTAATTCAGCCCAAGGCCAAAGGGTTTTTTGTTTTTTAAGTGAACCCCAGATGCTCCTTCCCTGCCACACTGCCATCAAGTGTTCCACTGTCGCAAAAGAACCGCGTCTATGCGTCTTTTCCCTTCTGCCGTCAACCGCGCTCTAGCTTAGCCCCCCCCCCCCTTTCCGGAAAGACGCAAAAAAGCTACTTAACGAGAGTGACAGCGCGCTTTACGACAGTTGCTTTGTGGTAGCGCTGGAGGAGGAAGATGGCGGCTACCTTAGTAACTGCAGCGGGAATGGGACCTTCCCCGGCCTGGGGGCCCGAGGCCCTTGCTCCTGATTGGGAAAACCGGGAAGTGACCACAGGGGTGAGAAAAGAAAGAATCAGGGTTCAGGAGATGTGAACCCAGCCGAGCTCGGGGGAAGGGGGAAGCCTGGGTGGGGTTGCGCGGGGCGGATGGGGGAGGGGAGGCAGACCCTGCGGCGCGGGAGGCTGCGGGAGACGACTTCTCGGGATGCTGGAGGGGGCCAGTACTTCATTTCGTAGAACTTCATTCTGCCTGCATCCTGAAAGCGACCGAATGTGAGAGCTGACATTCTGATCTTCTGCAGGTGTTGACCCCCCTTGAGTGTTGCACAGATTTGGTAGTCTGGAAACCGGGTGAGGGACGGTTGAAGTTGGGGTGTGAAAAAGCCTAGACTCACCCTTCCCTTCCTTTTTCCTAGACCACGATCATGGCTGTGCAGTTTGACGGGGGCGTGGTTCTGGGGGCTGATTCCCGAACAACCACTGGGTAAGCCGTGCTCAGGACAGATTGGTGAACACCCATCTTTCTTAACCTGCCCTGTCTGCCAGCTCTTTTTTTTTTCCTGCCGTACTAGAGATCAAACTCAGGGCTTTGCACATGCTAGGCAAGTGTTGTGTCACCGAGTCATCTCCTCAACCCTTCCTGCCCATCCTTGCCCTTCACAGACTGTGGAAAAAGAAGTTTCAAATCCCCCTGAAGATAAGGATTTATCCCTGAAACGACTACTTCCAGTTTCCCTCATCCTTTGGTGAAATATTTGTAAAAATCTGATCTCCATCCAGTTTTGAGTGAGAATCACTAGGTAATAACTTGATTTTTTTTTTTTTTTGAAAGGAGGATGATTTGGGGTTCTAACTCAGAACCTTGACTTTGCTAGGCAAAAGTCATTGCCACTTAAGCTAGTCTCTGATAATGCTTTTAGATAATTTCTCCCCCCAAGTACTGGCCAGCACTGTCCTTTAGCTTTTTCACTCAAGACTGATGCTCTACCACATCTAGCTTCTTTTTTATTTGAGTCCGGTCGTGGGTCCTGAACTCTGGGCCTGGGCACTGTCCCTCAGCTCTTCAGCTCAAGGCTAGCGCTCTACCACTTGAGCCACAGCATCACTCCTGGCTTTTTTCTTTTTGCTTATGTGGTGCTGAGGAATTGAACCCAGGGCTTCAGGCATTCAAGGCAAGCGCTCTACCACTGAGCCACCTTCCCAGCCCCCACATCTAGCTTTTTGATAGTTAGAAATAAGAGTCTCACAGACTTTCCTACCCCAGGCTGGCTTTGAAACTGTGATCCTCAGATCTCAGTCTTCTGAATAGCTGTCAAAACTGGCTTGAGTCATCAGCACCTAGCCTTGAATTTCTGTCCTTGAGCCCTGAAGGAGTGGATGGGATGGATGGAAGTAGAAGGAAGATGAGGTCCTTTCCTCACTATTCTGCCATCCTGTAGGTCCTACATCGCCAACCGAGTGACTGACAAGCTGACCCCCATTCATGACCGAATTTTCTGCTGTCGCTCAGGCTCAGCAGCTGATACCCAAGCAGTAGCAGATGCCGTCACTTACCAGCTTGGTTTCCACAGGTGCTTGTGGGCAGGGGAGGAGCAAGTAGCCAAAGGGATCTGGGACTTAAGACATTGTCTTAGGTTCTGACACTTAACTTTCTCGGTGTCCTCTCCTTCCCCAGCATTGAGCTTAATGAGCCTCCACTGGTTCACACAGCAGCTAGTCTCTTTAAGGAGATGTGTTACCGATACCGTGAAGACCTGATGGCAGGAATAATCATCGCAGGCTGGGACCCTCAAGAGAAAGGGCAGGTCAGACCCTCCCTCTGCCAGAGCACTGGAGTCATATCTGTGATCACCCTATCCTAGCCATTTTTTATTTCTCTTTTTTGTCTCTACCTCATTTTTTAACTCTCCCTAAAGCAGCCTAAAATGGACACCTGTATTGGGAGAAAGTAAATTTGGTGACTTTTCTCCCTTCATCTGGCAGGTATACTCCGTTCCTATGGGAGGTATGATGGTAAGGCAGTCCTTTGCCATTGGAGGCTCTGGGAGCTCATATATCTATGGCTATGTGGATGCTACCTACCGGGAAGGCATGACCAAGGATGAATGTCTGCAGTTCACTGCCAATGGTGAGTATTTGGACTTCTGGGCCTATGACCTTCCTACTCTCCTACCCAAACCTTTTTTTTTTTTTTTTTAATGTGCTGTTCAAGGCTAGTTCTCTACTACTTGAGACACAGCTTTGCTAACAGTTTTTTGATGGTTAGTTGAAGATAAGAGGCTCAAGGACTTTTCCTGCCCCAACTGGCTTCAAACCATAGTCTTCAGACCTCAGCCTCCTGAGTAGCTAGGATTACAGGTGTGAGCCACCAGCACTGGGCCCTTTCTTTATTCCTTATGGCATTCCCAGCAACTAACTCTAAGCCCAACTTTCTCCTTATATCCACAGCTCTCGCTTTGGCCATGGAACGGGATGGCTCCAGTGGAGGTGTAATTCGCCTGGCAGCTATTGAAAAATCAGGAGTAGAGCGACAGGTCCTTTTGGGAGACAAAATACCTAAATTCACTATTGCCACTTTACCGCCCTCCTGAATTCTGAGATTCTAGAATACAATAAGAGACAACCCTCCACCCCCATACTAATACCAAATTTAATAAACAGTTTGTCAAACAGAATCTTTGGACTTTGGGGTTCTTTTCTTGACTTCAAGCCTGAACTTGTCTAGGCAACTCCTGTTTGTGCACTGAGCTTTCAGGAAGTTGGGAGAGAGATAAAGTGAGCTTATGAGTGCTTCATTACTACTAGAAGGCCTTTGAGTGTGTGGTTTATAAGTGTTTTTTCAGACCACCTGGATAAAGCCACTTAAGCCACCAGAATTGGTAGATGTAGGAGCTACCAACTACTCCTTTCCTGTTCAAGTTTGGGGTAGAAATCTAAATTTTTATATGGGGGAATCATCTTCCCTACTTTGCCTCCTGCTAGTCATCAGTGTTAAAACGCATAAGAACTCTCTGACTTTAACCCTTCCATCTTTATCCCCTCTCATCTCATCCTAATGCCAGTATGCAGCAGTGTGACATCTTGGCTTTGGGGAAAGAAGTGGGCCTTGTCTGCAAGTGGAATTTAAAATGGATGTTGGGTGACAGTGGTCAGACGTGGGAAGAGCTTTTGGCCGGCTCTGGAAGTCACCATTTCCATAAGAGGCTGAGAATGGACTCTGGCCCTTCCATAGCTCTCCCTACTTAAGCCAAGGACTAAAAGAGCTTAGTGGCTCTTGTTAACAGTGATACATTCCCAGTCTATTAATAAACCTCCTTTTCTCCCCACCTATGGGTCTGAGGTTCATAGAAACTACATTTGAAATACTCCCCTGAGAGGTTCAGTGAACAGGAGAGAAGATTTCTACAAAACTGATCTGAACTAAAAAGCCAAGAAGTGATAGAGGAGAGAGAATTCCTAAGGAGATAATGAGGTTTTTGATTCAGTGAAGAATAGAGGAACCTCTGAACCTAAACATGTGTACCTCAAAGTTAAGTAACATGCAGTACTTTTTTTTTTTTGGCACAGCCCTGGGACTTGAACTGGGCCTGGGTGCCCCTGAGCTCTTCTGCTCAAGGCTACTGCTCTACTACTTACGCCATAGCTCCACTCTGGCTTTTTGGTGGTTACTTGAAGTTAAGAGTTTCACAGACTTAGCTGCCCAGGCTGGCTTTGGACTGTGATTCTTAGACCTTAGCCTCTTGAGTAGTAAGAATTACAGGTGTGAGCCACTGGTGTCTGACAGTACTTTTTTTTTTTTTTGTCGGTTGTGGGGCCTGAACTCTGGACCTGGGCGCTATCCACCAGCAGTTCAGCTATAGACCAGTGCTCTACCACTTGAGCCTCAGCCCCGCTTCAAGCTTTTTCTGCTTATGTGGTGCTGAGGAATTGAACCGTGAGCCTCATGCATGCAAGACAAGCACTCTACCACTGAGCCACCTTCCCAGCCCCTGACAGTACTTTTAGATTTTTGTAGCAGAGCCTGTTCTTACAGACCTTCCTGTCTTACCATCACCTTTTTTTTTTTTTTTTGGTTATGGGGCTTGAGTTCTAGGCCTGGGTGTGCTGTCCCTCAGCTCTTCAGCTCAAGGTTAGTGCTCTACCACTTGAGCCACAGCGCCACTTCTGACTTTATCTGCTTATGTGGTGCCGAGGAATTGAACCCAGGGCCTCATGCATATGAGGCAAGCACTCTACCACTGAGCCACCTTCCCAGCCCTCTTACCATCATCTTTGATTCTTTTTTCTTCTCCCTTGCACGACAGGTTCAACCTAGTAGTTATGTTCTAAAAATGTGTTCAAAGGGGGCTAGAAAGTTGGCTCAGTGGTAGAGTGCTTGCCTCGCATGCATGAGCCCCTGGATTTGATTCCTCAGCACCACATAAGCAGAAAATAATCTGGAAGTGGTGCTGTGGCTCAAGTGGTAGAGTACTAGCCTTGAGCTGAAGAGCTGAGGGACAGCGCCCAGGCCCAGAGTTCAGGCCCCATGACTGACCAAAAAAAAAAAAAATGTTCAAAGTAAATAATAGAATTAATCTCCCTCTAACCATGTCCACACTACTGTTCTGAACCATACTTAGCCTTGTACAATCCTTTTCCTGTACAGCAACCAAAGGATCTTTGTAACGGAGACTGTGTTGCTTCCTTGCTTAATGTCTTCCCATTCCTTACCATGATCTGGAAGGCCCAGCAAGTCCCCTCACATTGACACTCAAAAGCCACTGGCTTTTTTCTGTTTCCTTCTATGGGATTTTGCATTTGTACTTATAACACTTGGCTATTTTCTCTGCCTGGGCCTATTCTTTCATAATCCCTACCCCTCTCAGGTTCTAGGAATGTGACCCAGGGCCTCACACATGCTAGGCAAGCACTCTACTGCTAGTACAATGCCACCCTTACACATTCTTTTTATAATAAACTGTATTTTTTATTTATTTTTTTTTTGGGGGGGGGTCCAGTCGTAGGGCCTGAACTCTGGGCCTGGGCGCTGTCCCTCAGCTCTTCAGCTCAAGGCTAGCGCTCTACCACTTGAGCCACAATGCCACTTGTAGCTTTTTTCTTTTTGCTTATGTGGTGCTGAGGAATCGAACCCAGGGCCTCAGGCATGCAAGGCAAGCGCTCTACCACTGAGCCACCTTCCAAGCCCCAATAAACTTTATTTTTTAGAGTAGAGTAGAAAGCCCAGAGAGCCCACACCCCCATGCACAGACTCCCTCACTGTCTATACTCTTCCATCAAAGTAGTACATTTGTTGCTATCAGTGACTCACATTGATACATCACTCCTTGGTTTTCCTTTAGCTACTCATCATTCAAGTCTCAGATCAGATGTCATCTCATCAGAAAGGCCTTTCCTAACCTCCTGAAACTGGAGAAATCCCACTCTTTCTGCCCCACTGATATTACCTGTTTAATTTCTTCATAACAGCATCTGTTACTATCATCACTCTTATTTACTTGCTTATTGTCTGCCTTCCCCTAATAGAAAGTCAGCTTAGAAGAAACAATTTTTGGGCTGGGAAGATGGCTCAGTAGTAGAGCGCTTGCCTTGCATGCATGAGGCTCTGGGTTCAATTCCTCAGCACCACATAAGCAAAAAGAAAAAAGCCGGAAGTGGCACCGTGGCTCAAGTGGTAGAGCGCTAGCCTTGAGCTGAAGAGCTGAGGGCAGTGCCCAGGCCCAGAGTTCAGGCCCACAACCGGACCCAAAAATTTAAAAAAAAAAAAAAAAGAAGAAGAAGAAACAATTTTTATCTGGGTGCCAGTGACTCAATACCTGGAATCCTATAATCCTAACTATATAGACAGCTGAGATCTGAGAATGACAGTTCAAAGTCAGCCTAGGCAGGAAAAGTCCATGAGATCCTTATTACCAGCAAAAATCCAGAAGTGGAGGTGTCACTCAAGTAGTTGAATGTCAGCTTTGAGTAGAAAAAGCCAAGTGAGCACGTAAGGCCCTGAGTTCAAGCCCCAGTACTAGCACCAAAAAATAAATAATCAGCCAGGTGCTGGTGGTTCATGCCTGTAATCCTAGTCACTCAGAAGGCTGAGATCTGAGGATCACAGTTCAAAGCCAGCCCAGACAGAAAAGTCCCAGGAAAGTCCGTGAGACTCTTATCTCCAATTAACCACTAGAAAACCAGAAATGATACCTTGGCTCAAAGTGGTAGAGCACTAGCCTTGAGCTGATGAGCTCAGGGACAGCACCCAGACCCAGAGTTCAATACCCATGACCAAAAATAAGTCTTTTTTTTCTTCCTGGCCCATTGGAGTCAGGGAATAGGCACTAGATACTGTGTAGATATGCTGCTTCTTAATCCCATCTACTGTATTGCCCAGACCCCAACCCTGCAGATACTGTTACCACACTCAACTTGCTCAAGGGAAGTTTGCTTGATTTCAGCAAATTTACTTTCCTGCTAGCCCCGCCTGGGATCAGTGTTTTGTTCACCATTCACTGCCCCACTCCCAACACACACATATACAAACACTTGGCAACTCAGGACAAATTTAATGAGGCCATTTCACATTTGGAGGAGCCCAACTCTAGGACCGGAAGGAAGGTTGCCAATTCTTCCTGGAAGTTCAGTCCTCCTGAGAGTCCCCTTCAAATGGTGGAGTCATTGGCTGAGGCCACATCATGGAGCTGGTGGCGAAAGGAGAGTCGGGCTTTCCTACTGAAGTAGGCACCAGTGCCCTGGGAAGACAGCCCTCCTTCAATCACAATGGGAACAATAGCTGGGCTGGGATCTGGAGGAGCAGTGGGATCCAGGCCTAAAAGGGGGATTGAAGGAAGAAAAGAGGGGTTCAATGTTTAACTCCCCTCCACCTTTATCCACAGTTGAGAAGGAAAGAAGCTAGAGAAGATGCCTGGGTTTTTTTTTTGTTTGTTTCTGTTTTGGGGTACTGGTCCTGAGGCTTGAACTCTGGGCCTGGGTGCTGTCCTTGAGCTTTTTTTGCTCAAGGCTAGCACTCTACCACTTGGGCTATAGCTCCACTTATAGCTTGTTGTGGTTAATTGAAGATAAGATTCTATGGACTTTTTTTTTTTTTTTGCCCAGGCTCGCTTTGAACCATGATCCTTAGAACTCAGCCTCCTGAGTAGCTAGGATTACAGGCCTGAGCCACCAGCACCTAACTATGCCTGGAGTTTTGAAGAGGTGCGGAGTGCTGGTGGTAGAAGCAGGGTTGTGAAGAAGAGATATTGAGAGAGAATTGCCTTCATGGAGATGCAGCCAGAGCAATTACAAAGTCTCCCTGCTCTCCCCAAGTCTCTTTTGCTCCAAAGGGCCCCCGTACTTCAGATAGTGCTCTGCCATTTCCATCTTGCAATGCTTAAAGCTTTATCACCCTGCACGGTGAAGAATCCCCCTCCCACCAGGGATCCTCTTCTGCTCGCTGATTTGAAGGTTGGTGTCTCTCCTACTCAGCTGCCTGCCTGCCAGCCCCCTTTATCCTCATCTACCTCCATACCTGCTCCTCTTTCAGTCCTCCGCTGTCTCCGGCACCCACACCATGGGAAACACCAAGCGCCCTTCAGACCCATCTCAACAATGGAGGGATAGGGGTTGCTGGGAATGGCCAGGATGGCCCCTGGGGCAGGCGTGGTTTCTAAGCCCCCCCACCGTGGGCAAAACTACCACTTAGCCTCAGACCGACTAGTCATTATAGGCGCCAAGGGATAGAAGGGGGGAGAAGAGGGAGGAGGAAAAGGATGGGGGGAATACCCCCATTCAAACACTTACTTTTGTGCCCCCTTAATTTTAGGGTCCTCTCATACTTATGGAAAAGCTGGTGGATGTTGGCAGGGGTAACATGGCAAAGACAGACACAGGGGGCTATGGCAGAGTGAAAATTCAGTAGACAAATACTTGGTGCCCTGCTAGATTGCGATGTGTGTGTGTGTGTGTGTGCTGGGGTTTGACCCCCAGCCTTTCTTGGTGTGCTATAGGTCAAACACAGAGCCACCTGCATGCTAGGCAAAGGCTCTGGTTCCTCATTAATCTTCTTCCTCCTCCTCTTTTTTCCCCTTATACTTTAGAATGAGAATTTGGGGTCCCAAGATGTAATTGTTTTTCTTTTTGATACAAGGTTAGAACTTGAACTCAGTACTTGATTCTAACTGCTTTTTTTTTTTTTTTTGGTCAGTTGTGGGGCTTGAACTCTGGGCCTGGGCGCTGTCCCTGAGCTCTTCAGCTCAAGGCTAGCGCTCTACCACTTGAGCCACAGCGCCACTCCCAGCTTTTTCCTTTTATATGGTGCTGAGGAATCTAACCCATGCATGGAACTCATGCATACCAAACAAGCACTCTACCACTGAGCCTCCTTCTCAGCCCAGTACTTGATTCTTTTTTTTTTTGTCAGTCATGGGGCTAGGGCGCTGTCTCTGTGCTCTTCAGGTCAAGGCAAGCAGCTACAGCACCACTTCTGGTTTTCTAGTAGTTTATTGAAGCTAAGAGTCTCACGGCCTTTCCTGCCCGGGCTGGCTTTGAATGGTGATCCTTAGACCTCAGCCTCCTGAGTAGCTAGAATTACAGGGGTGAGCCACCAACGCCTGGCCCAGTACTTGATTCTTTTGCTCATTGGCTGGCATTCTACCAACTGAGCCATGCCTCCAACCCTCAAGATGCAAAAAAAAATGTTAATCTTTTTTTTTTTTTGGCAATACTGGAGTTTGAACTCAGGGCCTCATACTTGTTAGGCAGGAATTCTAACACTTAAGCCACATACTTTCCCCTCAGCCTCCCGCCTTTTTTTTTTTTTTTTTTTCTTTTTGGGTCCGGTCGTGGGGCCTGAACTCTGGGCCTGGGCGCTGTCCCTCAGCTCTTCAGCTCAAGGCCAGCACTCTACCACTTGAGCCACAGCGCCACTTCCGGCTTTTTTCTTTTTGCTTATGTGGTGCTGAGGAATCGAACCCAGGGCCTCATGCATGCAAGGCAAGCGCTCTACCACTGAGCCACCTTCCCAGCCCTTGCCTCCCTCCTTTTTATTTCCCAGATATGGGGCTTAAACTCAAGGCCTAGGCCTATCCCTGAGCTGTTTTGTACAAGCTATCTTTCTATCACTTAAGCCATAACTGCACTTCCAGGTTTTGGGGGATTCATTGAAGATCAGAAGAGTCTTAGGGACTTTCTTGCCTGGGCTGGCTTTGAACTGTGATCCTCAGATCTCAGCTTTCCTCTGAGTAGCCAGGATTACACACATGAGACACCAGTGCTTGGCCTCCACAGTCCCTTTTGTTTTAGGGTTTTTGTTTTTGTTTTTCTGACTGGATCTTTAGTTTTTTTCCCAGGGTTGGCTGTGAAGCACAAATTCTACTTAGAGCATCTCATATAGATGGGATTATAGATGAAACTACCATGCTTTGATTATTTGTAGAGATGGGGATCTCACTAACTTTTTGCCCAGGCTGACCTCAAACCTGAATGCAAGTGGCTCATGCCTGTAATCCTAATCGGTGGGTAGGGAGACTCCATCTCCAATTAACCAGCAACAAGCCAGCTGGAAGTACAGTTCAAGTAGTAGAGTACCAGTCACAGGCTAATAAGCCAAGCAGCTCAGAGCCCTGAGTTCAAACCCCAGTACCACAAAGGGGGAAAATTATAGACAGATAGATAGGCAGATAGACAGATAGATAGATAGAGTATTTATATACTGTCTCCAGTATATGAATACAGGCATAAGACATCATGCCCAGCCTCTATTTTTTTTTTTTGGGGGGGGGGGTCCGGTCGTTGGGCCTGAACTCTGGGCCTGGGCGCTGTCTCTCAGCTCTTCAGCTCAAGGCTAGCGTGCTCTACCACTTGAGCCACAGTGCCACTTCTGGCTTTTTTCATTTTGCTTATGTGGTGCTGAGGAATCGAACCCAGGGCCTCAGGCATGCAAGGCAAGCACTCTACCACTGAGCCATCTTCCCAGCCCTCTATTTTTTTTTTAAGAATGAGAAATTTTGCTGGGGAAATGGTCTGGTAGCCTTTTTTTTTTTTTTTTGTCGGTCGTGGGGCTTGAACTCTGGGCCTGGGCGCTGTCCCTCAGCTCTTCAGCTCAAGGCGAGCGCTCTACCACTTGTGCCACAGCGCCACTTCCGGTTTTCTAGTGGTTTATTGGAGATAGGAGTCTCACAGTCTTTCCTGCCCGGGCTGGCTTTGAACTGGGATTCTCAGATCTCAGCCTCCTGAGTAGCTAGGATTACAGGCGTGAGCCACCGGCACCCGCCTTCTGGTAGCCCTTTTTAAAATTCAATTCGGAATCTTCTGGCCATGACCTCCTGAGTCCTGGATTTCAGACATGTATGACCCTTTTTGTTTGTGTTTTGTTGTTTTACCATGTGAAGCTCACTGGGTTGCCCAAGCTGGCTTCAAACTTGAATTCAAGTGATCCTTTTGTGTGTGTGTGTGTGTGTGTGTGTGTGTGTGTGTGTGTGTGTGTGTGTGTGTGTGCAAGTACAGGGGCTTGAACTCAGGGCCTGGACTTTGGTCCTGAGGGCTTTTTTGTTTGTGTGTGTGTATGTGTCGTTGTGGGGCCTGAACTCTGGGCCTGGGCGCTGTCCCTCAACTCTTCAGCTCAAAGCTAGTGCTCTACTACTTGAGCCACAGTGCCACTTCGGGCTTTTTCTGCTTATGTAGTGTTGAGGAATCGAACCCAGGGCCTCATGCATGCATGGCAAGCACTCTACCACTCAGCCACCTTCCAGGCCCAGAGGGGTTTTTGTTTGCTTTGTTTTTTAGTTGTGGGGCTTGAACTCTCAGGGCCTGGGCCTCTTTGTGATCAAGACTAGCCCTCTGCCATGAGAGCCACAGCACCATTTCCTGTTTTTAGTTGTTAACTGGAGATAAGAGTACCTCCAGGGGGGCTGGGAAGGTGGCTCAGTGGTAGAGCGCTTGCCTTGCATGCCTGAGGCCCTGGGTTTGATTCCTCAGCACCACATACGCAAAAAGAAAAAAGCCGGAAGTGGCGCTGTGGCTCAAGTGGTAGAGCGCTAGCCTTGAGCTGAAGAGCTGAGGGACAGCGCCCAGGTCCAGAGTTCAGGCCCCACAACCGGACCCCCCCCAAAAAAAAGAGTACCTCCAGGGATTTTTCTGTCCAGCTTGCTTTGAACCAAGAACCTTAGATCTCAGCCTTTTGAGTAGCTAGAATTACAAGGGTGACTCACCAGCACCCAGTTTCAAATGATCCTCTTGATTGCTGTGACTACAAGTGTGTACGTGGGCCCAAACAGTCTTGTCTCTAGGTAGATGCTAGAGACTTTCACTTGTTACCTTATCTCAGTCATCTCAATCATAAAGTCCTATCCCTGAGGTACCCCCAGCCCTCAAAGGTCTTTTGAGGTGTTATTACCATCCTGATTTTACAGATGAGAAAAGGGAGACACTAAGAGATAAGGTAAGTACATTGCCCAAGGTCATATGGGCAGTTATCCAGGCCAGAAACCCTGCCCCTTAAACCCCACCCCAAGTCATTCTGACTCCAGACAAGGCTCTATTAAGGAGCACACTGAGCTTCCGAAGCACATTCCTGCTGGAAGCCTCAGGACCAGCACCATTGCCAAGGACCCAGAAATGTTCTGGAGTAAAGCTGTGCAGAAGCACTGATGAGTACACTGTACCATCACACATATGCAAACTTGATCATTTGGGGTTGTTGTTTCGTTTTTGCAGTACAGGGATTCAGGGCCTTATGTAGACTAGAGCTTTACTTATTTAATATTGTACATAGTTAACACTAGGTAAGGGCTCTACCATGGAGCTTCTGCCCCCAACCCCTGAATTAAAAGTAAAAATTACTGAAGCAAAAAATGTAAATGTAGGGGCTGGGAAGGTGGCTCAGTGGTAGAGCGCTTGCCTTGCATGCCTGAGGCCCTGGGTTCGATTCCTCAGCACCACATAAGCAAAAAGAAAAAAGCCGGAAGTGGCGCTGTGGCTCAAGTGGTAGAGCGCTAGCCTTGAGCTGAAGAGCTGAGGGACAGCGCCCAGGCCCAGAGTTCAGGCCCCACGACCGGACCCAAAAAAAAGAAAAAAAAAAAGTAAATGTAATTGATACTTTTATTATGTATCATATCAGTATCAAGGCTTGACCTCAGGGCCTTGCACTCTGACTTGGCTTTTTCCACTTAGGGCTGGCGCTCTACCACTCGAGCCACATCTCCAGTTCCAGCTTTTTACTGGTTAATTGGAGATAAGAGTCTCATAGTCTTTTTCTGCCTGGATTGGTTTTGAACTTTTATCCTCAGATCTCAGCCTCCCAAGTATCTAAGATTACAGATCAGAGCAGGTGCTCATCACTTACACTTGTAATTTCTAGCTATTCAGGAGGCTAAGATCTGGAGATCAAGGCTCAAAACAAGCCTAAGCAGGAAAGTTTGTGAGAGTCTTATCTCCAACTAACCACCAAGAAGCCGAAATGGAGCTGTGGCTCAGTAGTAAAACATTAGTCATGAGCCAAAAAAGCTCAGGGACAGCACTCAGATCTGAATTCAAGCCCCAGTACAGGACAAAAAGAACAAAACAAAACAAAACATTCCCATCATTCCAGTACATTTCTTTGAAGAGGTCCTAGGCAACTTCTGATCAGATTTCCATTACTATCTATTGGGTTTGCCTTTTTTCAGAGCTTTATTTACTTTAGGTCTTTTTCTTTTCTTTTCTTTTTTCTTTTTTTTTAATTGTGAAAATACTATACAGATAATGAGTACATTTCTTATCAAGCATTGTTGCCTCCTCCTTAGTTTCCCCTTCCCCTCCCTTCCCATCCTCCCCCCCACCCCCATCCCACTGTCAAATTTGTAAAGTTCATTTTCAACATAACGACTTGTACATCTCGTTCTTTAGGTCTTTTTCTTCTTCTTCTTCTTCTGGGGTTTGAACTCTGGGTTCTGTCCATGAGCTTCTTTTTGTTTGTTTGTTTTGTTGGTCGTAGGGCCTGGACTCTGGGCCTAGGCACTGTCCCTCAGCTCTTCAGCTCAAGGCTAGCACTCTACCACTTGAGCCACAGAGCCACTTCTGACTTTTTCTGCTTATGTGGTGCTGAATAATCAAACCCAGGGCCTCATGCATGCAAGGCAAGCACTCTACCCCTGAGCCACCTTCCCAACCCTTCCCTGAACTTCTTTTGCTCAAGGCTAGCATTCTATCGCTTGAACCACAGTGCCACTTCTGGTTTTTTCTGTTTATGTGGTACTGAGGAATGCTTGCATGTGAGGCAAGCACTCTACCATTAAGCCACATTTCCAGCCCTTTAGGTCATTTTTAAATTTAGAGAATATTAGTTTTTGAAATCACATTCATGTAGGAAAGACTACATATTTATCAGATTTTTTTTTTTTTTTTGGTCGGTCGTGGGGCTTGAATTCTGGGCTTGGGTGCTGTCCCTACGCTCTTCAGCTCAAGGTGAGTGCTTTACTGCTTAAGCCACAGTGCCACTTCCGGTTTTCGAGTGGTTTATTGGAGATAAGAGTCTCATGGACTTTCCTGCCTGGGCTGGCTTTGAACCGTGATCCTCAGATCTCAGCCTCCTGAGTAGCTAGGATTACAGGTGTGAGCCACCAATGCCCGGCTAAGACTATGTATTTAATACACTGTGTTATTCTGTACAAGTAGGTGGGGGTTTTTTGCTTTTCATTTTTGCCAGTTTCAAGGCTTGAATTGTCCTGCTTACTTTTTTTTTTTTTTTTTGCCAGTCATGGTGCCTGAACTCTGGACCTGGGCACTGTCCCTCAGCTCTTCAGCTCAAGGTGAGTGCTCTACCACTTGAGCTACAGCGCCACTTCCAGCTTTTTCTGCTTATGTGGTGCTGAGGAATTGAACCCAGGACTTCATGCATGCAAGGCAAGCACTCTACCACTGAGCCACCTTCCCAGCCCCGAATTGTCCTGCTTACTAACTGTAGCACAGAGCAAGTGCAAAATAACTGCTTTTTTTTTTTTTTTGACAATCCTAGGGCTTGAACTCAGGGCCTGGGTGCTGTCCCTGAGCTACTTTTGCTCAAGACTAGTACTCTACCACTTAAGCCACAGCATGGGCTTTTTCTGTGTATGTGGTACTGAGGAATCGAACCCAGGGCTTCATGCATGTTGGGAAGCACTCTACCACTAAGCCACCTTCTCCAAATAACTGTTATATGAATGAATGCTACAATGTAACTTTATACAGTGATGAACTTGTAGTCATCATCCTTTGGGGCTTTTATCTTCTCATTCCTTTCATCTACAAACGCAATCTGGACCAGGTCAAATAGACTTCTCGGCTAGCCTGATAAGGGGGTGGCACCAGCAGGTCGCCGCCAAGCAGGCGAATCCTGCCACGGATCCCGGGGCCGGAGCCGCTGTGGAGGAATTGTGTAGCGACGACGACGCGCGCCCTCTGGATGGCAGGACACACTCCGCCCGACGGCATGGGACAGACGCAAGGACACTCACCGGGAAACAGAGGGCGGGACCGGGGAGTGGGCGGCCCCCGGGGCCGGGTTGCGCGCCGGACGGCGGGGCGGGCCGAGGGTGGCGAGGGCGGGACAGGACGGGTGACAAACCCGGGGAGGTGAGGCGCGGGGGAGGGGGGGGTGAGGGTGGTGGAAGGGGGCGCTCGTCCCGCCCCCCGGAGAGGGCAGGCCCCGAGCCCCGGCCCCGCCCCCGCCAGCCCGCTGGGGTGTGGGCCGATGCTCCGGCTGCGCCCTGCTCGCTGCGCTGCGCGGGTGCCGGCGCCCGCAGCCTGGGTGAACGGGCCCGGGGAGCGGAGGGTCCCGGGCCCCGGAAATCGGGAAGGGTTGGGGAGCAGGCTGGAGCTGCCGGGCCTTTGGAATCAGCCGCACACCCAGATTTCAGGTTTGTCTCCCGGGCGGGGAGCGCGTGACTTCCTCATTCCCGCCTGGACCCCCGCTCCCAGCGAGGCTGGCCCGGCTTGAGCCCCGGGGTCCCCGAGGCGGCTCAGCCCTCCGGCGCTTCTTTCCGCGGCTCCAGAGCCGGCGTAGTTCCGGGCTATCCCGGCCTGCAAGGGTGTTTCCCAGGACCCCGCCCGCGGAATGGGGGGGGCGCGTGGAGGGGGCCGGCGCGGGGGGGGGGGGGTTCTGCGTGCGGGACTGAAGGAGGGGTGGGGGCTAGAGGGGTGTCGACGGGGCGGGGTCTGCGTGCGGGCCGAGGTCGGCGGTGGGGGAGGGACTTGGGTTCGGGGGTCGGGGAGGTTTTCTTTAGGGCCGATCGCCTCCCTGAAACGACCTCATATTCCTAGGATGACGGCAACCCAGGAGAGCCCCTTCCCTTATGGAGACTACCTGAACTCCAGCCAGTTGCACATGGAGCCTGATGAGGTGGACACTTTGAGAGAAGGAGAGGACCCAGGTACTTAGGAGGATGGCCCTCAAAGAGGTGAGAATTTAAGGTTGAGTCTACATCCTTGGGCTTGCTTTCCTCACAGCTGACCGGATGCACCCCTTTCTGGCCATCTACAACCTTCAGCCTCTGAAGGTGCACCCCTTGGTGTTCGCCCCCGGAGTCCCTGTCACAGCCGAGGTGGTGGGCACTGAGAGATACACCAGTGGATCTAAGGTAGCAGGGCTGGCACTGGGGGGTGGGGATGGTCAGTAGAGGAAGGTCTGCCCAGACCCAAGGGCCTAAGACTCTACTAGGGGACATACATTGAATTCTTTACACCCTTAGGTGGGAACCTGCACCCTATATTCTGTCCGCTTGACTCATGGAGACTTTACCTGGACAACGAAGAAGAAGTTCCGTCATTTCCAGGAGCTACATCGCGACCTCCAGAGACACAAAGTCTTGATGAGTTTGCTTCCCCTGGCTCGGTGAGGGGCAGCCTACTTCCTGTGAGGGGCAGGTCCCCCTCATTCCTGCTCTGTCTCCCCACCCCAGGCCATCATCACCTGTCTTTCTGACTCCCCAAGACACAACCCCCTTTGTTTCTAACCCCCCCCCCCCTTCTCAGGCCATAACACTCCTGTCTCATTCCTTGGCTGTTGGTTCCCCCCTCTCCTGACCCTGGTTACTAGGAAACTTTCCCTGCTCAGCTTTCCCTGTTCATGGTTCTGTGCCAGCATCTCAGGCAGGCTGGATGCCCAAAATGCCCTTGGCATCTTCCCCCTTCTCTTGTCTCCAATCCCAGGGTAGAAAGCCCTTTTTTTTTGGTTTTGTTTTGTTTTTTCCCTGCTAGCCTTGAGGGCTCTGCCCCTCCTCCAAGCCCCCATCTCTAGTGTGTCAGGTACCCAAGCCTCCCAGCTCTTACTGACCTCACTCCATCTGCTCTGCAGCTTTGCTGTTCCCTATGTTCCAGCCCAAGAGGCAACTGACAGGGAGATGCCCCCTCTACCCAGAGGAGGTCCTGAGGGCTCCACCAGACATGCAGCCAGTAAACAGGTATGACTGGACACCATGTCCTCTGAGCATCCAGGGTGCAAGAGCCTTTCTGGTCCATCTTCTTCTCTTTTTTAACTTTTGTTGGTCTTGGGATTTGAACTCAGGGCCTGGGTACTGTCCCTGAGCTTTTTCACTCAAGGCTAGTGCTCCACCACTTTGAGCCACAGTTTCATTTCTAATTTAAGTCTCATGGGCTTTCCTGTCTAAGTTGGTTTTTAACTGTGATCCTCAGATCTCAGCTTCCTGAGTAGCTAGGATTACAGGCCTGAGCCACCACCACCTGGCCCATCTTATTTTCCCTCTTCCATCTCCCTTCAGAAATACCTGGAGAATTACCTCAACCGTCTCCTAACTATGTCATTCTATCGCAACTACCATGCCATGGTAAGGTCCAGGGATTGGACACTGGGGTTCTTTTGAGGTGGAAGAAGATCTCAGACCCCTAGGAGGCCAAGAGAAATGTTAGGGGCTGGGAAGTTGAAAATCAGGTCTCCCCCTAAATCTGTGTGTTCGTTCCTCTACAGACAGAGTTCCTGGAAGTCAGTCAGCTCTCCTTTATCCCAGACCTGGGCTCCAAAGGACTGTGAGTGTGGCCCCTCATCCAGCCCTCTGCAGATATCTCTCCATCTCTTTTGGCCTGAGAATGAGGCAGACAGTAAAGGAGTCTGGAGTCTCCATCTAGCATTGCTTCCTGATTTTCCCTACAGGGAAGGGGTGATCCGGAAGCGCTCAGGTGGTCATCGAGCTCCTGGTTTCACCTGCTGTGGCCGGGACCAAGTTTGTTATCGCTGGTCCAAGAGGTGAGGTCTAAGGCCAAACAGCCAGGCAATGGCTGGGGCAGAGCGCAGGCAGGGAGGATTGTACACAGCCCTTCCACTGCAGGTGGCTGGTGGTGAAGGATTCCTTTCTGCTGTACATGTGCCTGGAGACTGGCAACATCTCATTTGTTCAGCTCTTTGATCCTGGCTTCGAGGTGCAGGTGGGGAAAAGGAGTACAGAGACCCGGTATGGAGTGCGGATTGATACCTCCCACAGGTAAGATATCCCTGGTAGGAGAGTCATCCCTGAGGGAAGTTGAGCAGGAAAGAAGTTTGGTTTTGGGGTTTTTTGGTTGTTTCTTTTTTTTGTCAGTTGTGGGGCTTACACTCAGGGCCTAGGTGCTGTCCCTGAGCTCTTTTTGCCCAAGGCTAGTGCTCTACCATTTTGAACCACAGCCCTACTTCCAGTTTTCTGGTAGTTAATTGGAGATAAGAGTCTCGTGGGGACTTTTTTGCCCCTGCTGGCTTCAAACCAATATCCGCAGATCTCAGCCTCCTAAGTAGCTAAGATTACAGGTGTGAGCCACCAGTGCCTGGCAGAAAGCCTGTTTTACACCCAGTTCCCACCTTCAATCTGGCATGGTGGGGTTTGTTTTGGTGCCCATACTGGGTCTTGAACTCAAGACCTGGGTGTTGTCCCTTATCTATTTCACTCAAGGCTGGCAAGCTATCACTTGAGTCACACCTCTGCTTCTGGCTTTTTGGTGATTAATGGGAGATACAAATATCATAGACTTTCCTGCTTGGTCTGACTTTGAAATTTGATTGTCAGATCTTGCCTCCTAAATAGCTAAGAATACAGGTGTGAGCCACTGGCACCAAGTATTTTCTTTTTCTCTTCTTTTCATTGTTTCATTTTGAGACAGATTCTTCTTATGTAACCCAGGCTGGCCTTGAACTCATAAGCCTCTTAAATGCTGGGATTCTAGAAGTGTGAAGCACCATACCTGGCTGATGAGTTTTTTAAACTAGGAAACTAGTCCAACCAGATGCTTTGGATGTCTTAGGGTCAGGTATTAGTCAGTGTAAGCCTGAAGATTGATGTGATGGGTCATATTGGGTTATCTCCATATTAAGGAAGATCAGTCAGGAGGAACTCTTGGGAAAGTCCAAAGCCAGCCTGAGATACTTAGCAAGTTTGAGGCCTGGGTGACATGTCTCCAAAGCAGAAAGCAAATCACAAAACCAAAAAGAGAATTCTATTCATTTATTCATTCAACAAACTTTGTGCCTGACACAGTATTTGTGGGTTGCTGGTAACCCAACTTTGAGTAAAGCAGGTATCTGCCTTGTGTCTCTGGAGTCCTGATTAGAGACTAAGAGATAGGAGGGATGACAGCCAAAAGTGGGGAGGTCTCTGGGAAGACCCTAGGTATAGAGGAGAAGGAGGATTAGTGGTCATCTCCTTGTTCCTGTCCAGGTCCTTGATTCTCAAGTGCAGTAGCTACCGGCAGGCACGGTGGTGGGGCCAAGAGATCACTGAGTTGGCACAGGGCCCAGGCAAAGACTTCCTCCAGCTACATCAACACGACAGCTTTGCCCCACCCCGGCCTGGGACCCTCGCCCGGTGGTAAGATGCTGATGTCCTTCTCCAGCTCATTTGTGCCTTTCTTGATGCTATTGCTTCTTTCTGACTTCTTCTGACCTCTTTAACCTCATTGATTTTTCTGATGCCTTTTTAACCTTCCTAAGGGCCAACCTCAGTGATCTGCTCAGAACCTCTTTAGACCTTATAAGTTACATGGACTCTCTGTTTATGGTATCAGATCTCTCCAATTTATCTTTCACATAAATAGTTAATAAGCATCTTTTAAAAAAAAATTTTTTTGGGTCTGGTCGAGGGGCCTGAACTCTGGGCTTGGGCGCTGTCCCTCAGCTCTTCAGCTCAAGGCTAGCACTCTACCACTTGAGCCACAGCGCCACTTCTGGCTTTTTTCTTTTTGCTTATGTGGTACTAAGGAATCGAACTCAGGACCTCAGGCATGCAAGGCAAGCGCTCTACCACTGAGCCACCTTCCCAGCCCTTTAATAAGCATCTTATTAAGCATCTACTTTGTGCCCATGGTCTGGTGCTGGCTGTCAGGCACAGGCTTATCTGGTTTAGGAAGGAACATGATCTAATTGGAAGACTCTATGAATTTGCCATACTGGTATTGTGGTATATAGTTGAGGAAGGGATGTCAGGACCAGTTCCCTGAAGGCACATGGTAAGGTTTGCATTAGTAGGATAAAGAAAATAGAGCAGGGAAGCCCAAGCAGAGAATAGGAATAGCTTGGTATGTTTGAGAAGTAGATTGGGAGTTGAAGCAACTGATTCTATGCGGTCCATCATGCTAAGCCTTGGAGATTGAACTTTATAATAGGCAAGAAGAGTTGTGGAAGGAGAGAAAGAGAGAGAGGGAGAGTAAAGAAGGGAGAGAAAATGCTGGTCCTGGGGTTTGAACTTAGCCTGTTTGTGCTCAAGGCTAGCTAGCACACTACTAATTGAGCCACAGCACCATTTTTGACCTTTTTTGAGTAATTTATAGGTGATAAAGTCTTTTTTTCTTTCTTTCTTTTTTTTTTTTGGTTGGTCATGGGGCTTGATCTCTGGGCTTGGGTGCTGTCCTTGCACTCTTCAGCTCAAGGCTAGTGTTCTACCACTTGAGCCACAGTACCACTTCCGGTTTTCTAGTGGTTTATTGGAGATAAGAGTCTCACAGACTTTCCTGCCTGGGCTGGCTTTGAACCGCAATCCTCAGATCTCAGCCTCTTGAGTAGCTAGGATTATAGGTGTGAGCCACCAGCTACAGGCTATCCCTAAGCTTTTTTTTTTTTTTGTCAGTTGTGGGGCCTGAACTCTGGGCCTGGGCGCTGTCCCTCAGATCTTCAGTTCAAGGCTAGCTCTCTACCACTTGAGCCACAGTACCACTTCCAGCTTTTTCTGCGTATGTGGTGCTGAGGAATTGAACCCAGGGCCTCATGCATGCAAGGCAATGAGCCACTGAGCCACCTTCCCAGACTCTCCCTAAGCTTTTTTGCTTAAGGCTAGCACTCTACCACTTGAGCCAGAGCTCCACTTTTGTCTTTTTGGTGATTAACTGGAAAAAGAATCTCACAAACTTTTCTGCATGCGCTAGCTTTGAGCCTTGATCCTCAAATCTTAGCCTCCTGAGTAGCTAGGATTACAGGTTTGTTGACCTGGGTTTTTTTGTTTGCTTTTTTTTTGTTTGTTTTCATGTTGAGCTGTGTTTTTAGTTTTTTGGTTTTTTTTGGGTCAGTTGTGGGGCTTGAACTCTGGGCCTGGGCACTGTCCCTCAGCTCTTCAGCTCAAGGCGAGTGCTCTACCACTTGAGCCACAGTGCCACTTCCAGTTTTCTGAGTGGTTTATTGGAGATAAAGAGTCTCATGGACTTTTCCTGCCCGGGCTGGCTTTGAACTGAGATCCTCAGATCGCAGTAACTAGGATTATAGGTGTGAGCCACCGGCGCCCAGCCTGAGCTGTGGTTTTAAGATTTGGTTTTGAGGGGCTGGGAAGTTGGCTCAGTGGTAGAGTGCTTGCCTTGCATGAATGAAGCCCTGGGTTTGATTCCTCAGTACCACATAAGCAGAAAAAGCCAGGAGTGCGCTGTGGCTCAAGAGGTAGAGTGCTAGCCTTGAGCTGAAGAGCTGAGGGACTGCGCCCAGGCCCAGAGTTCAGGCTCTAGGACCAACAACAAGAACAACAACAAAAGATATGGTTTTAAAACAGGGTCCCACTATCTTTTGATTGGGCTGGCCTTGAACTCTTCCTGAGTAGCAGGGCTTACAGGTATGTGCTATCATGTCATATAAGATTAAAAAAACAAAACAAAAAAAGTAAGTAGTAATAATAGTACTTAAATAGCATTTATTATGGGTCATAACTGTTTTACATATATTAACTTTTAGGATGCTCCCCACAACTCTATGAGGTAAATTGTTATCTCATTTTATTGATAAGAAAACTAAGCAAAGAGTTGTTAGCTAATTAAGGTTATAACTCTTGTGAACCATGAAACTAGGAATCAGTTCAGACAGCCTGAGTCAAAAATGTTCTTTTCCATCACCCTAAATTGTTGGTTATTAAGAAGTCAGGAGTTGCCTGATGCTAACAGCTCATTCTTGTATCTTAACTACTCAGGAAACTAAGATCTGGAGGAATGAAAATTTAAAACCAGCACTGGCAGAAAAGTCAGCAAGATTCCCATCTCCAGAATAACCAGCAAAAAGCAGGGCTAGAAGCATGGCTCAAGTGGTAGAGCACCAGCCAGGCAAACACAAAGCTCTGAGTTCAAACTCCAGTACCACCTAAAGGAAGAGAGGGAAGGAAGGAGACAGGAAAGATTCCCAGCCCTGAAAACAAAGTTAAGCAATAAAGTAACACATTAAGTACAAATTTTGCATCCCTACTCATTGCACACCTACACATTGCACAATCCTTTACTCCACGTCACCGTTTTTTATTCCTCCTCCCAACAATTCCATTTTTTCTTTCCAGAAGTAACCCAGTAACCCAGGGGTTGAGAAGTTAGCTTAGTGGTAGAGTGCTTGCCTTGCATGCATGAGACCCTGGGTTCGATTCTTCAGCACCACATAAGCAGAAAAAAGCTGGAAGTGGCACTCTGGCTCAATTGGTAGGGCACTAGCCTTGAGCTGAAGAGCTGAGGGACAGCGCCCAGCTCAGAGTTCAGCCCATGACCAAAAAAAAAAAAAAGAAGAAGTAACCCAGGCAACAGTTTGGTATTTATCCTCCTAGATCCTTTTCTGCAATTTTAGTTTTTGCTTGTATATGTTACTTTTTGCCTTATCACAAATGACATATCACATGCCCTCTTCTGCAACTATTTCCACTTAATACATATGTTAGAGAGTCCACATTTAGGTCATTTCCTGACTTTCACTCTTACAAATAATGCTTCCATAAATAGAATTTTTGCCTAAGCATTTTAGAATATGTATTTCTAGAAATAAAATTGCTCTATGTACTTATTAGTACTTAAGAATATGTGCAGCTAGGGCTGGGAAGGTGGCTCAGTGGTAGAGCGCTTGCCTTGCATGCCTGAGACCCTGGGTTCAATTCCTCAGCACCATATAAGCAAAACGAAAAGAGCCGGAAGTGGCGCTGTGGCTCAAGTAGTAGAGTGCTAGCCTTGAGCTGAAGAGCTGAGGGACAGTGCCCAGGCCCAGAGTTCATGCCCCACGACCGGACCCCAAAAAAAAAAAAAAAATGTGCAGCTGCATATGTAATGCATTCCTATAATTCCAGCATTTGGGAGCCTGAGGTAGGAGAAATCTTGAGTTTAAGGCCAGGCTGAACTACATAGTGAACCTTATATAAAAAAGCAAGCCAAGGGGCTGGGAAGGTGGCTCAGTGGTAGAGCGCTTGCCTTGCATGCCTGAGGCCCTGGGTTCGATTCCTCAGCACCACATAAGCAAAAAGAAAAAAAAAAGCCGGAAGTGGTGCTGTGGCTCAAGTGGTAGAGCGCTAGCTTTGAGCTGAAGAGCTGAGGGACAGCGCCCAGGCCCAGAGTTCAGGCCCCACGACCAGACCAAAAAAAAAGCAAGCCAAAAAAGTATATATGCATTTTATATAGGTGTGTATACATATATATGTATATTTAGTTATGGTCATTTGAAACAAATATTTATTGGCTATTGTTTTCCTGAACAATGCCCGACAAAAAAGAAAAAAAAAAAAAGAGATGAGAGAAATATGGTGGCTCATACATGTAATCCTAGTTATTCAGGGAGCTGAAGTCTGAGACTCAGGGTTTGAAGCCAGCCTGAGCAGAAAAATCCATGATAACTTTTATTGCCAATTAACCCACAAAAAGTTGAAAGTAAAAGCTTGGTTCAAATTAGAATCATTGGTAACACACAATAGTAACACATGAGGAAGTGGGTAGTTTCATAGATTATGGGAATAGATATTGGTTATTTACTTTTTTGTGTGTGTCAGTCGTGGGGCTTGAACTCTGGGCCTATGTGCTGTCCCACAGCTCTGCAGCTCAAGGCTAGCACTCTACCACTTGAGCCACAGTGCCACTTCTGGTTTGCTGGTGGTTTATTGGAGATAAGAGTCTCACGGACTTTCCTGTCTGGGCTGGCTTTGAACTGCAATCCTCAGATCTCAGTCTTCTGAGTAGTTAGGATTACAGGTGTGAACCACTGGCGCCTGCCTGACTTTTTTTTTTTTAGACAAGATCTAGCTATGTAGCCCAGGCTGTCCTTGAACTTATTATCCTTTTGCATTAGCTTCCCAAGAGCTGGGATTATAGTGTAATATCACACTTAGCTGGTCATACCAACTTTTTAGAAGACAGTTTGGCGGTATCAGTCAAAATAGCAAATATTTGAAGTAACATCTTTTTTGTTTTGGTCTGAGACTGGTACTCAAACTCAGTATCTGATGGCTAACATACTACTAACTGAGCCTTGACACATCTTTCTTTCTTTCTTTTTTTGTCGGTCATGGGGCTTGAACTCTGGGCCTGGGCGCTGTCCCTCAGTTCTTTAGCTCAAGGCTAGCGCTCTACCACTTGAGCCACAGTGCCACCTCTGGCTTTTTCTGCTTATGTGGTGCTGAGGAATCAAACCCAGGGCCTCATGATGCAAGGCAAGCGCTCTACCACTGAGCCACCTTCCCAGCCCCCACATCTTTCTTTCTTTCCTTCTGTGTGTGTGTGTGTGTGTGTACCTGTACTGGGGCTTGAACTTGGTTTTTTGCTCAAGGCTATCATGCTACCATTTGTGCCATACCTCCACTTCTGCCTTTTTGCTGGTTAATTGGAACTAAGAGTCTGTCAGGTTTGTCTGCCTGGGCTGACTTTGAATTGTCATCCTCAGATCTCAGCCTCCTGAGTAGCAAGAATTATAGGCATGAGCCACCAGTACCTGACTGTATGCCCTTTTCTTATTGATTTATATATGGCTGTCTTCCACTACCTTAGTTTTTTGTTTTTTTGGTTTTTTTGTCGGTCGTGGGGCTTGAACTCTGGGCCTGGACACTGTCCCTGCACTCTTCAGCTCAAGGCAAGCGCTCTATGGCTTGAGCCACAGCACCACTTCGGTTTTCTAGTGGTTTACTGGAGATAAGAGTCTCACAGACGTTCCTGCCGGGGCTGGCTTTGAACCGCGATCCTCAGATCTCAGCCTCCTGAGTAGCTAGGAATACAGCGTGAGCCACTGGTGCCCGGCTACCTTAGTTTTTTATGTAGCTTATTCTGGCTAATCATACTGATAAACCCTACTTTGATTTATCTGATGCCATCTGACCTCTCTAATCTCGGACACTGCTGTCGATCTCTGACCCGTGACTATCCTCTTTGATCTTTACTCTTCAGAGCTTTCTGGCTTCTGACTCCCCTGACCTCCTTGGCTTGGCCTCCCCCCAGGTTTGTGAATGGGGCAGGGTACTTTGCTGCTGTGGCAGATGCCATCCTGCAAGCTCGACAGGAGATTTTCATCACAGACTGGTGGTAAGTGGGGAAAGTGGGGTGGGGGGAGCAGGACAAAGCCTGGGGCAGCACACAGGGGAAGGGAAGGAATGGTTGGTTGTCCAGCACTTAGTTTGCTCCCTCCACCCTATTCCAAATCCTAGGTTGAGTCCTGAAGTTTATCTGAAGCGTCCAGCCCATTCCAATGACTGGAGACTAGACATTATGCTCAAAAGAAAGGCGGTAAGAAGCATGGACAGGCTGGAAAGGGGAGGCCTGTGGGTAGAGGTTAATTAGGACTGCAGCATAAGAGAAAACTGGGGATCTGAGGTTTCAAGAAGGAAGGAAATGTAACTGTCCTGGCTCAAGGCCTGACATTCATCACCTTCTCCCTACTTCCTCTTCCCAATACATAGACTTCTCTTCTAGTGTCCATATGCTGTCTATATTCTGTTACCTAGAGGCACCCATTCTGTCTCTTTCACTGGAACATCACTAGTTCCAGTACGGAGCACAGCATCTGTTGCGCAGAGGGCATTTGTGACTGTGGATGAATGGGAGGAAGGATACACGAATGGCAGGTGTGCAGATAAGTGGATGGATAGATGGTAAAAAGGGAGAGGAATGGAAGGATATGAGCTGGAAAGGTGGAAATATAGAAGGATGTGTGGGAAGGTAGATGAATGACAGAGGGTAGATAAGATGATGAATAAATGTTTGGGAAGATGGATAATGAAGTGTAGGTGACAGATGACAAGGCAAGAAGAGAGCTGACAGTCTATGTTTGTTATAAGTGTGATGGCACGTGGGAGAGCATCTGGTCTCTCCAGGCAGGGTGGAGGGTATACAGGCATCAGAGTGTGGTGAAGGTTTTGGGAGGGTGGAAAGGAGCCACTCCGGAAGAGGCACTGGGATCTGATTCTTCCACTCACCTAAATTTAAGGAGGAGGGTGTCCGGGTGTCCGTACTACTGTTTAAGGAAGTGGAATTGGCCTTGGGCATCAACAGTGGCTACAGCAAGAGGACTCTGATGCTGTTGCACCCCAACATAAAGGTGACGCTTCCTTGCCATTCTTCCCGACCCCTCTCTGGAGGGTCAAATCCTTTCAGCTTTTTCTCCTCTTACCTTCTCATGAAACACACACCCTCATGAACTCCGGTATCTGCTCCAGGTGATGCGCCACCCAGACCTGGTGACATTGTGGGCCCATCATGAAAAACTTCTGGTGGTAGACCAAGCTGTGGCCTTCTTAGGAGGGCTGGACCTTGCCTATGGCCGCTGGGATGACCTGCACTATCGACTCACAGACCTTGGGGACACCTCTGAGTCAACTGCCTCTCAGGTAATTCCCCTGAGACCTTCTCAAGCTCTCCCAAGCCCAGATAACATAGATTCACACCCCTTTCCAGTTGCATCCTTCTTCTGCTAGTCATCTACTGGGTTTCTCAGCCTCGGTTGCTGCCCCTTAGCTTTTTCACTCAAGACTGGCACTCTACCACTTGAGCCACAGCTCCATTTTCAGCTTTGGGTGGTTATTCAGAGAGAAAAGTCTTGGGCGGGGAAGGTGGCTCAGTGGTAGAGTGCTTCCCTAGCATGCAGGAAGCCCTGGGTTCTACTCCTCAGAACCACATAAACAGAAAAAGCTAGAAGTGGCACTGTGGATCAAGTGGTAGTGCTAGCCTTGAGCAAAAGAAGCTCAAGGACAGCGCTCAGGCCCTGAGTTCAAGCCCCAAGACTGGCAAAAAAAAAAAAGTCTGAGAAAAGAGTCTTACGGACTTTCCTGCCTGGGCTAGCTTTGAACTGTTACTCTCAGATCTCAGCCTGAGTAGCTAATTATAGGTATAAGCCACTGGCACCCAGCAGCACCCACTGTTTTTTGTTTTTGTTTTCTGGCCATGAGGCTTGAACTCAGGGCCTGGGCACTATCCTCAAGCTTCTACCACTTGAAGCCACTGCTCCACTTTCGGTTTTCTGGTGGTTAATTGGAGACAAGAATCTCACAGACTTTCCTGCTCAGGCTAGCTTTGAACTGTGATCCTCAGATCTCAGCCTCCTGAATAGCTAGGATTACAGGTGTAAGCCACCAGCGCCTGGCTACCCACTGTTTTTGAAACAGGATCTCTCATTAGATATCCCAGACTGGCCTGAAACTCTTGTGCATCACCACATGTAGCCAAAAACTCACTTTGAAAATACTATCACCCAAGTGGCGCTGTAGCTCAAGTGGTAGAGCGCTCGCCTTGAGCTGAAGAGCTGAGGGACAGCGCCCAGGCCCAGAGTTCAAGCCCCACGACCGTCAAAAAAAAAAGAAAAAGAAAATACTATCACCCAATCCCTTCCCAACATCCACGGACCCCCAAAATGCAGCTGAACGTGAAGGGCTGGCATGAGGGGCTTTCTGTGTCTCTCATACTTTAGTGCCCTTGTCTTCTCCTTGGCCTGGTTCTCTAGGGCCTATGACCTCATCTTGCCCCTGGCCTTGGTGTGTCTTCTGCAGCCTTCCACCCCGTGCCCAGACTCTTCGGGCACTCCAGACCTGTCTCACAACCACTTCTTCTGGCTGGGCAAGGACTATAGCAATCTTATTACGAAGGATTGGGTGCAACTGGACCGGCCTTTTGAAGGTGAGGCTCCCCTCCTACAAGGCCTGTGGGAGCTGGGAGCAGGGCAGGAAGATGGGGCTGGAGCTGGGGTGGGACTGGGTGAGTCAGTCAGCCTTTGCCTCCTCCCTGTTCCAAGAATTCCTCACACACACCAGCCCTGACTTTTCTCCTGACCCTTCTGGGTGGGGCGCTCAGATTTTATTGACAGGGAGACTATCCCCCGGATGCCATGGAGGGATGTGGGCGTGGTCGTCCATGGCTCAGCAGCACGAGACCTAGCCCGTCACTTTATCCAGCGCTGGAACTTCACCAAGGTGTTTGCTCCCTTTGGGGTAGTAGGGGGAGCTGGGGGGAGGGGGGTAGAAAGAGAGACAGAGACAGAGAGAGACAGACAGGCTTAATTGCTACCTCCTTCTAACTCTGCCATCCTCCTTCTACCTCAGACCACCAAGGCCAAGTACAAGACACCCATGTACCCCTACCTCCTACCCAAATGCACCAGCACTGCAAGCCATCTGCCATTCACACTCCCCGGTGGGCAGTGCACCACTGTACAGGTAAGGCTCCTGACTTCCACCAGCCCCTTCCTTTCTTGCCTTTAGCCCTATGTTCCACTTCCTTTCCTGATGGGAGAACCATTACCCTTCCTCCCTCCACCCCCCATCCCTGCCCCAGATTCCTCTTTTCTTGTGATTAGGAATCACATCATATCCACCATTCACTAGGTGCTGCGGTCTGTGGACCGTTGGTCAGCCGGGACTTCGGAGAATTCCATCCTCAATGCTTATCTCCACACCATCAGAGAGAGCCAGCACTTCCTCTACATTGAGGTCTGACTGGGGTGAGGGTGGAGGTGAGGACCCAAGAGAGAACTTGGGGATGCCAATAGGATCAGTATCTAGGGCTGGTGTGGCTGGGACTGAAGCACATAGAGAATCGTGGGGCCAAGGCCTCTGGGCTGGGGCTAGGGACTGGAGAATGGGAGCCCAGGCAGGGACCAGGGCCAAGCGGCTGATGTTGCTTTCTGGTCTCTGCCCCAGAATCAGTTCTTCATTAGCTGCTCAGATGGTCGCTCGGTTCTGAACAAGGTGGGCGATGAGATTGTGGACAGAATCCTGAAGGCCCACAAGTAAGGTGGACTGTCAGGAAGGTGGGGGCAATGGGTATGGTTTAGACCCAGCTAGATGGGGTGAGCTCCCTGGATCTGTCCAGTGCTGACTCTGCCCCTCTGTCTAGACAGGGCCAATGTTTCCGTGTCTACGTGCTCCTGCCCTTGCTTCCTGGCTTTGAGGGGGACATCTCCACAGGTGGCGGTAACTCCATCCAGGCCATTCTGCACTTCACTTACAGGTGACTCCCCCCCCCCCACTCCACCTTTCCATGGCCCCACCTAACCCCTCCCCATTCCTTCCTGTTGGACCTCCCTCTCTCCCTCCTTCCCCCCTCTCCCTCTTCTCTCTCTCTCTCTCTCTCTCATACTGGTACTGGTACTTCAACTCAGGGTCTCACAATCTTACTTGCATTTTTACTCAAGCCTGGCACTTGGGTTGGGAAGGTGGCTCAGTGACAGAGCATTTGCCTTGCATGCATGAGGCCCTGAGTTCGATTCCTCAGCACCACATAATCAAAAAGAAGAAGCCAGAAGTGGCACTGTGGTTCAAGTGGTAGAGCACTAGCCTTGAGCTGAAGAGCTGAGGGACAGCAACCAGGTCCAGAGTTCAGGCCCCACAACCGGGCCCAAAAGAAAAAAAATGAAAAAGACTGGCACTCTACCACTTGAGCCATGGCTCCATTTCAGGTTTTTTGGAGAAAAGAGTCTCATGGACTTTCCAGCCTGAGCTGGCTTCAAACCACAACTCTCAGATCTCAGCCTTCTCAGTAGCTAGGATTACAGGCATGAGCCACCAATGCCCAGCCTTTTGGGCCTTTGAGGTCTACCTTTCTCCTGATATTGGCCCTCTCAAAACAAAACAAAACAAAACCCAAGACAGCCTTACTCTTTCCTTTCCCTCAGGACCCTGTGTCGTGGGGAGTATTCAATCCTACATCGTCTCAAAGCTGCCAGTGAGTGCTGGGGACTATGGGGGACTGGGGAGGCCACATTCTGATATATGGGAAGAGGGAGCTGAGGGGAAAGGAAGCCATCATTCTAGCATGCCTGGGGGCTCCTCAGGACCTAGGTGGCCTCTCACTTCTAGGAGAAGTATACGCATTAGACTAGGCAGGGCTGAAGTGAGGAGAGGTGGGAGAGGGGAGCCTTCAACTCACTCTCCCTCCTCTTCCCCGTCTCTTGAGCAGTGGGGACGGCATGGAAGGACTATATGTCCATCTGTGGGCTTCGCACACATGGAGAGCTGGGCGGGCATCTGGTCTCAGAGCTCATCTATATCCACAGCAAGATGCTCATTGCAGATGACCGGAAAGTCATCATTGGTCAGTATTGGATTTGAGCCTGGTGTTCAGAGGAGGGTGGGGTGGGACAAGGTTCTGGGAGATGACAGAGACTGCATCTGGGGCTCAAGGTAGAGATTGCCTCAAGTCTGGTGCTTGGGTGAAGGTGATGAGGAATTCTGGGAGAGAAATCCTCCAACCCAGACAGACACCATGTGTCCCATACACACCCCAGGTTCTGCAAACATCAACGACCGAAGTTTGCTAGGGAAAAGGGACAGTGAGCTGGCTGTGCTGATTGAGGACACAGAGATGGAGCCTTCCCTCATGGATGGGGTAGAGTACCAGGCCGGCAGGTTTGCCTTGAGTTTGCGGAAGCACTGTTTCAGGTAGGTCAGGTGGGATGCTACTAGATGGAGGCAGAGCAGTTGGTATGGAGGGCGGGGGGCGCAGGAAGATCCTGACTTTTTGAGCTGGACATGAAGTCTCCTTAGAGCTAGTTCTGGATTTCCCTGTAGGCACATTAACCCAGTTAAGAGTATTAGCAAACTAAGGACACACACATACACACACACACACACACACAAAATGAGGGGATGCTAGGGGCTCACATCTGAAGGCTAAGATCTGAGGATTGCTGTTTGAAGCCAGCCTGGGCAGGAAAGTCTGTGAGACTCTTTTTTATTATTATTATTATTGTGAATATACCATACAGAGGGGTTACAATTACATGGGCAAGATAACGAGTACATTTCTCATCAAGCATTGTTGCCTCCTCCTTTGTTTCGCCTTCCCATCCCTTCCCATCTCCCACCCACCCCCACCCGCAGCCCCCTGTGAGACTCTTATCTCCAATTAACCACCAGAAAACTAGAAACTAGAAGTGGAGCTGCAGCTCGAAGTGGTAGAGTGCTAGCCTTGACAGAAAAGCTCAAGGATAAGTCCCAAGACCAACACACACACACACATACACACACACACACACACACGAAAAAATACTTATATTTTTAAGAATACATATATTTTTAAGAATATATATATAATATATATATATATATATATATATATATATATATATATATATACATACACACACACACACACATATATATTCAGCCAGTCCTGGGGCTTGAACTCAGGGCCTGGGCACTGTCCCTGAGTTTCTTTTGCTCAAGGCTAGCTCTTGAGCCACAGTGCCACTTCCAGCTTTTTCTGTGTATGTGGTACTGAGGGATCGAACCCAGGGCTTTATGCATGTAAGGCAAGCACTCTGCCACTAAGCCGTATTCCCAGCCAAGATTTTTTTGTCAGTTGTGGGGCTTGATTTCTGAGCCTGGGCACTGTCCCTGAGCTCTTCAGCTCAAGACAAGCATTCTACCACTTGAGCCACAGAGCCATTTCTGGTTTTCTGGTGGTTAATTGGAGGTAAGAGTCTTACAGACTTTCCTGCCCAGGCTGGCTTTGAACTGTGATCCTCAGATTTCAGCCTCCTAAGTAGCTAGGATTATAGGCATGAGCCAGCTAAGAATAATTTTTTTTTAATATCAAAATAGTTATCAGCAGGCAGTGGTCGCTCACATCTTCAATCTTAGCTACTCAGGATGCTGAGGTTTGAAGCCAGTTCAGGCAGACAAATCTGAGAGACTGTTATCTCCTATTAACCAGAAGAAAGCTGGAATTGGAGGTGTGATTCAATAGGTAGATCACCATCTGCGAGCAAAAAAGCCGAAAAAGCTGATTGAGAGCACAAGGTTCTGAGTTCATGCCCTAATACCAAAGTAGTCATCAAAGTAGAGAAAAATCTACTGGACTCATTTGAACTTATTTTACTGTTTATTGAATCTATTATTAAGTATTAAAACTAGGATTTTTTTTTTTTTTGGGGGGGGGGGTCCGGTTCTGGGGCCTGTACTCTGGGCCTGGGCGCTGTCCCTCAGCTCTTCAGTTCAAGGCTAGCGCTCTACCACTTGAACCACAGCGCCACTTCCAGCTTTTTTCTTTTTGCTTATGTGGTGCTGAGGAATCGAACCCAGGGCCTCATGCATGCAAGGCAAGCACTCTACCACTGAGCCACCTTCCCAGCCCCATAAAACTAGGATTTTTTTTTTTTTTTTTGCCAATCCTAAGGCTTGAACTCAGGGCGCACTGTCCCTGAGCTTTTTTTTTTCCTGCTTTTTTTTTTTTTTTTTTTTTTGGTTGTGGGGCTTGAAATCTGGGCCTGGGCACTGTACCTGAGCTCTTCAGCTCAAGGCTAGCACTCTAGCACTTGAGCCACAGTGCCACGTCCAGTTTTCTGGTGGTTAATTGGAGATAAGAGTCTTAAGGACTTTCCTTGTGAGCTGGCTTTGAATCGTGATCCTCAGATCTCAGCCTCCTGAGTTAGCTAGGATTACAGGCCTGAGCCACTGGTACCCAGCTTCCTGAGCTTCTTTTGCTCAAGGCTAGCATTTTACCACTTGAGCCACAGCACTACTTCTGGCTTTTTTCTGTTTAGGTGGTACTGGGGAATCAAACCCATGCTAGACAAGTACTCTATCACTAAGCCACATTCCCAGCTCTGAAACTAAGATTTTAGACCCCAAGCACTGATGTTAAGTTTGACCACTCAATCCTATATGCCAGAGTTGTTGTGAAAGGCAGAGAACAGAGATTTATTACATGGTAACCATGGAAAGACAGAACTTTAGTACGTTTTCAGCACGGTCATCTTCAGGATACAGACACTAGCTTTAGGATAGAGAAAATTGGAGGTGGAAGATGAAAAAATATGTATAGTTAAAACAGTACCAAAGTGCCAGGCTCTGGTGGCTCATGCCTATAATTCTACTTTTTTTTTTTTTTTTTTTTTTTTGTCTTTTCTTTTTTGGTACTGGGGATCGAACCCAGGACGTTGCACTTGCTAGGCAAGCACTTTGCCACTGAGCTACATCCCAGCCCCCATGCCTATAATTCTAGCTACTCAGGAGGCTGAGTTCTGAGAATCAAAGCCAGTCCATCCAGGTAGGAAAGACCGTAAGACTCTTATCTCCAATAAACTATCAGAAAAACTGGAAGTGGTGCTGTGGCTCAAGTGGTAGGATGCTCAGTTTGAGCTAAGAGCTCAGGGACAATGCCCAGGCCCAGAGTTCAAGCCCCATGACCAATAAAAATATAAAATACAAAAATAGAAAAAAAAAAACAAAAGGAAGTGGCGCTGTGGCTTAAGTGGTAGAGTGCTTGCCTTGAGCTGAAGATTGCAGGGACAACGCCCAAGCCCAGAGTTCAAGCCCCACGACCGACCAAAAAAACAAAACAAAACAAAAAACAGTACCTAAGCTAGGTACCAGTGGCTCACGCCTGTAATCCTAGCTACTCAGGAGGCTGAGATCTGAGGGATCATGGTTCAAAGCCATCCTGGGCAGGAAAGGTTGTGAAACTCTTTTTTTTTTTTTTTGCTTATATGGTGCTGAGGAATCGAACCCAGGGCCTCATGCTCTACCACTAAGCCACCTTCCCAGCTCTGGTTGTGAAACTCTTATCTCCAATTAACCACCAGAAAACCGGAAATGGTACTGTGGCTCAAGTGGTAGAGCACTCACCTTGAGCTGAAGAACTGAGGGGCAGTGCTTAGGCCCAAAGTTCAAGCCCCATGACCAACAACAACAAAAAAGCCCCAAATCACAGGCATTACCTGGTTATCTAAGCTTAGTCTTTGTCTCTAGAGGCATTCCAGAAAAGTTAATCACTTTACCATAGGGACAAGTGGCCTAGCTGATGATGAGAGTTTTGGGCTGCTTCCTTTAAGATGCTAAGAAAGCATTGCCTCTTTGAGGGGCAGTTTGCCTTCCATACAAGATGATTATTGGTAGCGGGTTTCCGTAGAGTAGTGGTTATCATGTTTGCCTCACAAGATGATTATTGGTGAATCTTCTCTTTACTGGAGCCAAAGGTGGTTTTAAACTGATTGCTTCAGAGAATAGCTCAGATCACAGGGCACAGATATGAAGTTGAGGGACTTTTAGTTAATTCACAGGGCTCAGCAAAAGCATCTTTTCAGTTGTCTCTCTTTTTTTTTTTTTTGGTTGGTCATGGGGCTTGAACTCTGGACCTGGGCACTGTCCCTCAGCACTTCAGCTCAAGGCTAGCACTCTACCACTTGAGCCACAGCATCACTGCCGGCTTTTTCTGCTTATGTGGTGCTGAGGGCCTCATGCATGCGAGGCAAGCGCTCTACCACTGAGCCACCTTCCCAGCCCCTCAGTTGTCTCTTACAGTACCTGGAGAGGAAGGTCATGACTTCTGTGGTCTTTAGAATCAATCTGGCCCCATTGGGACCATTTCTTCCACAGTGTGATTCTTGGGGCAAATGGCCGGTCAGACCTGGATCTTCGAGACCCTGTCTGTGATGACTTCTTCCAGTTGTGGCAAGAGACCGCAGAGAACAATGCCAATATCTATGAGCAGGTGGGAAATGAGGGGTACTGGCCTAGAGTGACTAATGGGTTATCCTGTTCTGTGACATGGAGAGAAGCCCCACTACACAGTCCTTCTAGAAAGGGGATGAAGGCTGAGTGCTTGTGGTTCACATCTGTAATCCTAACTGCTCAGAAGGCTGAGATCTGAGAACCTTGGGTCCAGATTAGCCTGCAGAAAAGTTTTTGAGCCTTATTCGGTCCACTTGACCAGCAAAAAGCCGGAAGCAGAGGTGTGGCTCAAGTAGTAGAATGCTAGCCTTGAGTGAAAAAAAAAAAACAAGTGAGAATGCAAGGATCTGAGTTCAAGTTGCAGTACATACACAAATGTGTGTGTGCATGTGCATACACATATGTGCGTGCACACATACACACACAGAGGAAAAGGAATTAATAAGGGTCTGATAGCACTTACTACTGGGAATTGAGTATCCCCAGTCAGTATGAAGGGTATTTCAAGGAGATATGAGATGTGTAGAGTCCATCCTAGCTGGCTTGAACTCTTGAGACTCCCCTAACCTAATTAGCTTCCATGTCCTTTCTCTCATCCTCAGATCTTTCGATGCCTGCCAAGCAATGCCACACGTTCCCTGCGAACTCTCCGGGAATATGTATCTGTGGAGCCCCTGGCTGTGGTCAGCCCTCCCTTGGCTCGGTCGGAGCTCAGCCAGGTCCAGGGCCACCTGGTTCATTTCCCCCTCAAGTTTCTGGAGGAGGAGGAGTCTTTGCTGCCCCCGTTAGGGAGCAAGGAAGGCATGATACCCTTAGAAGTATGGACGTAAGAAGGTCACCAGGTCTGCCTCCCTGCCCCAAATCCTGAGAACCGAGGGCCAGAACCCCTTGAGCTCTGGAGAGATGGAAATCCCTGAAGAGGATTAGAGGAGTCACAGAGTACCCTTACTTGGAAAGTATGTAAAGGGGGTACCTCGAGCCTGGCATACAAAGACAAAAATGGGGTCCTAGTGATGTTCATCCATCTGCTGCCCAGCTGAAACCACTACTACAAAGGGGAAGCATGGGAACTGGGCCTCTTATTCCAGGAATATAGGGTGCTGTCTTAGGCCTTTCCTGACTCTCCCTCCTCCTGCTCTTAACCCCCTCCATGTTCTAGGCCCATTCCTAGCCCACTGCTCCAAGATGGAGGGCAGGATGGATCCACTCTGGCTGCAGCCTCTGCTGGAGATTAGGACATGGAGTACATATTAACTCCCTCAACCAACCAACCTGTTGAAAGACACTAATTTTGTACCAGTTCAGTAAACATTTCATAAATAAAAAATGTAGGAGAAACTCATGTCCCTTGGAGGAACTAAGTGCTGCTGTCTTACCTTATTTTTCTTTTATTTAATTTTATCATCAAGGTGATATACAGAGGGCTTAGTTAGATAAGTAATGAGTACATTTCTTGTCTAACAATGTTACCTTTCCCTTGTTTTCTCCCGTTTTCCCTCCCCCCTCTTACCTTCTTTACTTCAGTTCTTTCTGCATTTCTGTGCTGCTGCTTTTTTTAAATTAGCATATATTGTACAAAAGGGTTAGCATTTCTTTTTTCAATTTTAAAAATTATTATTAGGAAAGTGATACGCAGAGGGGTTACAGTTGTATAATTCAGGTAAAGGAAGTTTAGGAAGTGGTGCTTGCTCAAGTGGTAGAGTTGGGCTGAAGAACTCAGGGATAGCACTCAGGCCCAGAGTTTAAGATCCATGACTTGGGACTGGGAAGGTGGCTCAGTGGTAGAGTGCTTGCCGTGCATGCATGAGGCCCTGGGTTGGATTCCTCAACACCACATAAGCACATAAGCAGAGAAAGCTGGAAGTGGCACTGTGGCTCAAGTAGTAGAGCGCTAGCCTTGAGCTGAAGAGCTGAGGGACAGCGCCCAGGCTCACGACTACCACCACTAGCAACAAAAAGATCCACGACCGACTGAAAAAAAAAAAGTACATTTTATTTTTTATTTATTTTATTTTTTGTGCTAGTCCTAGGGCTTAAACTTAGGGCTTGGGCACTGTTTCTGAGCTTTTTTTTGCTCAAGGCTAGCACTCTACTATTTGAGCCTCAGCTCCACTTCTGGCTTTTTGGTGGTTAAGTAGAGATGAGAGTCTTAAACATGCTAGGCACCAGGGGCTCATGACTGAAATCCTAACTACTCAGAAGGCTGAGATCTGAGAATCAGGGTTCAAGGCCATCCTGGGCAGGAAAGTCCATAAAACTCTTATCTCCAATTAATCATCAGAAAACTGAAAGTGGTTATGTGGCTCAAAGTGGTAGAGCGCTAACTTAGAGCAAAAAAGCTGAGGAACCACTCCCAGACCCTGAGTTTAAGCCCCATGACCGACCAAAAAAAGTCTCAAACATTAATCTAGGCTGGCTTCAAACCCAAATTTTTAGCTCTTAAGTGTCCTGAATAGCTAGGATTACAGACATGAGCCACTTATACTTGGCTACTTCTTCTTCATTTATGCAAATAAACGACAGTCATCATATTCATCCTCAATTTCCCTCCCTTTCATGCTGGTAGCCCCTCCCCCAGCAGAACTTGTTTTACATTTTACTTTCCTGTCTTTTTTTGGGGGGGCGGGGAAAGGGTGGTCAGTCCTGGGGCTTGAACTCTGGGCCTGGGCGCTGTCCCTCAGCTCTTCAGCTCAAGGCGAGCACTCTACCACTTGAGCCACAGCACCACTTCCAATTTTTCAGGTAGTTAATTGGAGATAAGAGTCTTACAGACAGGCTGGGAAGGTGGCTCAGTGGTAGAGCACTTTCCTTGCATGCCTGAGGCCCCGGGTTCGATTCCTCAGCACCACATAAGCAAAAAGAAAAGCCGGAAGTGGCGCTGTGGCTCAAGAGGTAGAACGCTAGCCTTGAGCTGAAGAGCTGAGGGACAGCGCCCAGACCCAGAATTCAGATCCCACGACCGGACCCCTCCCCCCCCCAAAAAAAAAGAGTCTCACAGACTTTCCTGTCTGGGCTGGCTTTGAACCTTGATCCTCAGATCTCAGCCTCCAGAGTAGCTAGGATTACAGGTGTGAACCATGGACTCCTGGCTCTGTCATTTTTTGTTGTCACAATTTTTGTTTTGTTTTTTTGGTGGTTTTGAACTCAAGGTCTCCCTCTCATTGGGCTTATTACTGAGCTGGCTTCTTACCCCTGGAGCCATGTATCTAGACCAGCTCCTTTGCTGGTTATTTTGCATATAGACTCTCTTGGACTTTTCTGCCCCCAGGCTGATTTCTAACCTTGATCTTGTAGATCTCAGCTTCCCTGAGCTTCTAATGCCCAGCTTCACTTTTTTTTTTTGTAGTGCATATTAATTGTACCATAGTGTTTCATCATGATGCTTTATACATGTATGCAGCCTTCTGAATAACTAGGATTACAGACACCAACATGGCTTATCTATTTTTATCAGAATGACTCTCTGCTGTTTTCCCAGTCTCCTTAATCTTCAGCTGGGTGCTGGTGGCTCACACCTGTAATCCTAGCTACTCAGAAGACTGAGGTCTGAGGATCATAGTATAAAGTCAGGCCAGACAGGAAAGTCCCTGAGACTCTTATCTCCAATTAAACACCAGAAAACCAGAAGTGCCACTGTGGTTCAAAGTGGACCAAAAAACTGGAAGTGAAGCTATGGTTCAAGTGGTAGATCACCAGTCTTGAGCAAAAAAAAATCTCAGGGACAGCCCTTAGGCTCTGAGTTCAAGCTGCAGAACCACCATGTATATATAGAGAGAGACACATACACACACACACACACACACACACACACACCACACAAATATATATCACTGAGATTCCTTATGCCATCATACATAGCTACAATGCATTTCAAAATTATTCACCCTCCATTTTTTTCCTCATCTCCTTAACACAGTCTCAAAGTTAGAATCATGTTCTTTGTGTATATAAATGTACATATATAGATTATATTCAGGAAGGGGTGCTGTGGCTCAAGTGCAGCGCACTGGCTTTGAGCTGAAGAGCTCGGGGCAGCACCTAGACTCAGAGTTCAAGTCCCATGACTGACAAAAAATAAATTAAAAATTAACAGTATTATATTCATACATATGTGAACACGTATGTCTTTTATTTTTTTGGGTCCAGTCGTGGGGCCTGACCTCTGGGCTTGCGCACTGTCCCTCAGCTCTTCAGCTCAAGGCTAGCGCTCTACCACCTGAGCCACAGCGCCACTTCCGGCTTTTTTCTTTTTGCTTATGTGGTGCTGAGGAACTGAATCCAGGGCCTCACGCATGCAAGGCAAGCGCTCTACCACTGAGCCACCTTCCCAGACCCATGTATGTCTTTTATGTCTAACTGACCCATATGAGTAAAATATATAATATTTGGCTTTTTTTTTTTTGTCGGTCGTGGGGCTTGGACTCTGGGCTTGGGTGCTATCCCTGCCTTCTTCAGCTCAAGGCGAGCGCTCCTCCGCTTGAGTCACAGCGCTCCTTCCATTTTTCTAATAGTTAATTGGAGATAAGAGTCTCACAGGATTTTTCTGCCCGGGGTGGCTTTGAACCATGATCCTCAGATCTCAGCTTCCTCAGTAGCTAGGATTACAGGCGTAAGCCATGGCGCCAGCTTATTTGGCTTTTTTCAACTTGGCTTTATATTGCTGAATTTAAATATTCTCCAATTACATCAATTTTCCTATACCTTCTCTTGACACCCTTCCTCTCTCCCTTCTGCAGTCTCTGTACCTCCTTGTCCAAGGCTAGCCTGGGCAGAAAAGTTTACTAGGCTCCATCTTCAAAAGATGTGGCAAAAAGCAGTGCTGAAGGCATGAATCAAGTAGTAAAAGCCAGTCTAGTAAGCCCGAGGCCTTGAATTTAGTCATCTAAACTCTCAATCCCTCCCTCTCTTCCCCCTTTCTCTCGCTCTCTCTCTCTCTCTCTCTCTCTCTCTCACACACACACACACACACACACATACATCCAAGAAATCTCCCTCCTACACAAAGCAATCTCCTGGTACTAATTGGCATTTTGTTAATTAGTCTCATTGTTGGCACCAAGTGCCTCTTTCCCCAAGGGAACCATTGCCTACTTAATGGTGGGGCAGGGTAGAAGCAGCAGCTGCCCCAGGACAGTGCACGGACCAAGTGGGCTTCTTCTGTTTTCACATCATCTGCCCTCTCTTTTATCTTTTTTCATCTTCTTCCCCTAGATTGGGTCTTGCCTAGGCTGACCTTGAACTCTTCATCCTCTTGCCTCCGCTTCTTGGGTTCTGGGATTTCAGGTGTGTGCCCCCAAGTCAGGCCAGTCCTGGAGTCTTGACTGGAGGCAGAGAAGGAAAGCAGAGAAGGCTTAGGATATAAAGTGGCTAGGGCTAGGAATGTGGCTTAGTGGTAGAATGCTTGTCTAGCATGCATGAAGCCCTGGGTTCGATTCCTCAGTACCACATTAATTGGAAAATCCAGAAGTGGCACTATGGCTCAAGTGGTAGAGTGCTAACTTTGAGCAAAAGAAGCTCAGGGACACAGTGCCCAGGCCGTGAGTTCAAGACCCAGAACTGGGAAAAAAAAAAAAGTGTCTGTAGGGGTTGGGAGTGTAGCTTAGGGGCAGAGCTAGTGCCTAACATGCTGGAGGCTCTGGGGGAAAAAAAGTATTAAACCCAGAATGGAAAGAGTCCAAGATCAGTGGTAGCTCTTGAGGACAGCTAAGTCTGGTCCAGTGTCCATTCATCTTCCAGGGGACCTATAATTAGTTTTCCTGGATCAGGCCAAGGGCACTGCTGCATGCAAAAGCACATGGTTCTATTACTAAGCTATACACCCAGCCTATCTTATGTTTGATATTTTGATTCTTTCTCCATCTCGCTCTTCCTTCCTTCCTTCCCTTCCTCTCTCTCCTATCCTGGGGCTTGAACTCGGGGCTTGGGTACTGTCCCTGAGCTTGATTGCTCAAGGCCAGCACTCTACCACTTGAGCCACAGCTCCATTTCTGTGTGTGTGTGTGTGTGTGTGTGTGTGCACGTGTGTGAGAGACAGACAGAGAGAGAGAGAGAGAGAGAGAGAGAGAATTGCATCACACACTTTCCTGCTCAGTTTGGCTTCAAACCTCAAACTTTAGATCTCAGCCTCCTGAGTTGCTAGGATTACAGGGATAAACTACCAGATCTCAGCTTGCTTGTCTTTTCTCTTTTCCTTTGTTTTCTTTTCTTTGCCAATATTGGGATTTGAACTCAAGTGCCTGGCCATTGCTTGCTCAGCTTGCTTGTTGTTTGGCTGATGCTCTATCATTTGAACCACACTTCTGAATTTTTTGCTGGTTAGCAAATGAGCCATAGTGCCACTTCCAACTTTTTCTGCTTATGTGGTGCTGAGGAATTGAACCCAGCCTCATGCATGCAAGGCAAGTACTCTACCACTGAGCCACCTTCCCAGCCCCACTAAGTACTTTCATATATATAATTTTATTTTATTCCAACCTCTGTACTATTATGTCTGTTTTACACATGATTATTGTAGCGCTTCAGAGGTTAGTGATTTGCCTAAAGCACTAACTTCAAAATTTGTGTTTTACTTACTATTCAATGATCTTGATGTGAACCTGCCAGGTAACAAAAGTCTTCTTTTTTGGGGGGTACAGGGCTGGTCCAGAGGTTGAACTCAAGCCTTAGGTGCTATCTTGAGCTTTCTTTGCACAAAGCTAGTGCTCTACCACTTGAGCCATAGTGCCCACTTCCAGCCTTTTCTGTTTATGTGTTAACTGAGAAATCGAACCCAGGGCTGCATGCATGCTAGGCAAGCACTCTACCATAAGCCACACCCCCACCCCCTGTCTGGGAGACTCTTAATCTCCAATTAACTACTCAGAAAAAGCTAGAAGTGGTGTTATGGCTCAAGGGGTAGAGTGCCAGTCTTGAGCACAAAGAAGCTCAAGGACAGTGTCAGGACCCTGAGTTCAAGCCCCCCAGAACTGGAAAATAAAAATCATAGTGAAAGAAAAGCTCAGAAAAGTAAATCCACTTGTTCAAAGTCAGTCAGTAGTCTAATAACATGCTTTTCTGTATTTTCATAAACATCATCAGGCTTCGAGGGAGGCTAATAGCTTGGGGCGCTGTGCCAACAGGACTAGATCTAAAGTGACTCTTGCAAGATAGGAAGGTACTGGATACAGTTTCTTCTCCTTCCACTTTGCCACTGAGGATTCCATCAATTGTTCCTCTGTGGAGAACACTTTGCTAAGAGAGGTGCAGAGATAAAGTTCGGCAGTAGGATCACTTACCCGGAGATAGGAGATCCACTCCCCAGCCCTCCCTCCTCCAGCTAGGGAAGGGAGTCAAAGGGCCCTCAGAGGCAGCCAGACTCCCCTCCCTCTCCGCCCCCCACGTGGTTTCTCCAGCCGAGTTCTCCCCCAGAGCCCCCCCCTCCGCGGCTCCGCTGTTGCCATGGCAACTGAGTGGGTGGACAGCTCGTCCTCTCCAGAGGCTAGCAGCCCTCGCGTGGGGAGTTACCATAACAACCCCCCTAGTAATAGAGGGGGTTGAATTCCGCCTCCCTTCCCCCGCAAATAGAGAGGAGGGTGGCTTGATTGGCAGCTGGGCATAGGGAAGAAAGAATGAAAGGGAAAGAAAGGCATCAAAGGAGATCTACGGAGAAAAAATAAGGAAGAGAAAGGGGGGGGGAGAAAAAAAAACAGGGAAAGCGTGTGCGCACGCGCAACAGCCGGTGGGCGCGCTACGCAGCCGCCTCGGCCGCCACCCACTGCTTTCACGCCAGGCTCGCAAGGTTGCCCAGTCCCCGCGTGCGCCTTGCGCCGGGTCTCCCGCGCGTGCGCGCAGGTGTGGGCGCCTAGGGGGAGGGGGGAGCCCTGCGCGCTCACGTCACGTTCCCTCTTCCCCCCTCCCCTCTCCTGGGGCTCGGCCGCTCAGCGCCTGCGCAGAAGCTCCGGCGGCTCGGGTTGCAGGCTCCCGGGCGCGCACGCTCCCCTCAGCCGGTGGGTCGGTCCTCCCGCCGGCCCTCTCCGCCCCGTTCCACGGGGGAGGCGCGGTGGAGCCCGCCCCCAGGGTCCCCCCGATGGGGTTGAAGCGGCGTCGGCGGCAGCGGAATAACCGAGCCGGAGCGTGAGCGGCCCCGGGGCCCGGTTTCCCCCCGCGGAGGCCATGGGCGACTCAGCCCCAGCCCGCAGCCTGGACGACATCGACCTGTCCGCCTTGCGGGTGAGCGTCCTCCCTCCCCTCTCCCGGGTCCCCCTCGCACTCGGTTCCAAGCCTCGCTGCCGGCGACGGGGAGCGGCGGCCGCACGCTTCCCCGGCTCCCCGCTCGTCCCCTCCGCCAGCGCCGGGCCCCTCGGCGCTCCGCGCCCCATTCCCGGGCTCCCGCCGCCCCGGGGCCCTCGGCCTCCGCTCGTTCTCCTCGCTGCAGATTCTGAGAGCCAGCTCTCGGCCTCCACCCTGTGGGTGCCCCGCCTCCACACTTGCCTGACCCCCTTCCCTTCATTCTGGGGGGTTCGGGACTCCCTCCAGAGTATCTGAGGGTCACCTCTGGGTTTGCCTGCACCCCACCGTCCCCAAGCCCACGGAGAGACTTCCTTGCGGCCTCTCACCCATCTACCCTCTTGCTACCCACTTTCTCCTTCCTCCACCTCCTCTCTCTCTCGGCTCTTCAGATTTGACTTTGCAACTGCCTTGACAGCCTCCCCCTCATTCTTTCTCTTCCTCGCCTACCCCTGAATCGCAACTCTCTGCTGGTCGGCATTTCAGCCTCCCACCCCACCCCACCACATCCACGGTCTCCCTCAATCCCACATTCATTTTTCTGTATCCCTTCTCTGGCGTTTCAAGTGCTGCAGTCCAGATCCAGGCATTTCCGGTCTCGGGGTCCCTGCAGATTACATTGCCAACTCTGCAGCCATGTGTGTGTGTGTGGGGGGGGGGTGCGGATTGACAAGTGCACTGATTCCCTTGGGAAACTCGAGCTGGGAAGAGGATGTTTACATACATGTACACACACAAAACATGCTGCGTGTTTTGGAAGGCAGTGAGGGTGCAGGCCATGGCAAGCTGTCTCAGGGGAGGTGTTCATTAGGAAAGGGGTTAAGAGGAAACCATCGCAGCGGAACCCCATTTCTTGTCCACGTGGTCTACTTACTTGCTCTCCTTTAAGAGCATTTATGTTTTTCTCCCAGGAAGCTTTGGCTTAAGGGCAGCGTAGTGATTTCAAGGTGAACGTTCCAGACTGTTCCCCAGGTGGTGTTTTGATCCTGTACCCTTTCAGGTTTATCAACAGGCCAAGGTGGGGGGGGGGAGGGGAAGAGGAGGAGGGAAGGCGCGAGAGTGCAGAGTGCGATCCAGCAGTTTTTTTTTTTTTTTTTCAGGAAACCCCTTGTGTACATTGTCTTATGGTTTTTGAGCCTGGGGTATGTGGGTGGCAGGGTGGTGAGAGGAGCAGCTTGCCCACACATAAATGCCCCTGATAGGACTGGAGGGAAAAAGAAACTAAAGAGAGCAGAGTCATGTTGTTAATTGGGTTTCTCTAGGTGACACACTTTTTCTTGCCATTCAGGTCATAATTTGTTTGGTGCAGTACTGGGCTATGAGACCTGACTTGCTGGAGATAAAATAAGTTGCTGAGGAGAGAGACTGAACAGTGAATTCCCATTCCCCCATGTTTTCATAGGGAGAGAGTCTGAAGGATTCAGAGGTTAGCCTAGTCAGGGTTTAAACTGGGGTGCTCACCTCAGTTGGGATGTAAGCAGGCTGGAAGTCCAGGTTATGAGTAAAAGTTTCCTCAGGTACACTTTAGGATGAGCCTCCACCTTCCTGTACCATCTTGGTTGTTGATAACTTTGGCCACCAGTTCTTTGGTTTTGGTGACTGAAATATAATACAAAATGGGTGGATCCAAACCATGACCTTTGATTTTGACGCTTGTAGGACTCTGCTTGCTTTTCTTTTTGTTTCTTCTGGTAGCATGGCTTGGCCCCCAACCTGAGATTTCCAACAATTCTACAAGTACCCTTTGACCTTGGAAATGATATTTCCCTCCGGACTTCCTGCTTAAAGAACTGTTAACTTCCTTCCTCAATTATCTCCTGCCTTATTTTCCTCTCTTTTTGTTTGAGAGAGCCAGGTGACCTGCTCCCTGGTCTTCTGTGCATTCTGCTTAGGATCCTGATGAAAACATTGCACATCCTCTTATACTACCACTACAAGACTTGAAAGAGATAGCTGAGTTTTCTTTCTAATAGAGCTGGAAAGGACTGTTTTCTCCTTGCTGCTGATCCTTTCTCAGTGCCATCCCCTCCACATCACCTCTGAGAGCTGCTCTGGCAGGGTTAAGCACTCAGTCATCCTGGTTTAGCTCCTGACTGCTTTCCAGAGAGACGTGGTAACCTGAAGAATTTGCAGCCAAAGTGTGTTTCCCTTTACTGTATCATCTTGTGTTGGGGACTGGGGTAGAGTAGCTGGCCCTAGAGAGCCCAAGTTGTCTTTCTCCTCTTGTTTAAAGATAAGGCTTGCTTTTCAGCTAGTGATGAGATTAATAGTACGCTATTAATCATGTGTGGGGAAGCCAGATGGACCTGACACTTTGTGACCACAGCCACACTTGACCTCTTTGTGGTCTGTGCCTCTACCAACATGGTAGAGCTCTGGAGTTGCATTCTTGAGTTCTTAAATCCTGACTTACTTGCTTCCTCTGTAACTAGTCCTTCATTCTCCTTTGCCTTCCCGCCCCATACAGCAGACTGTAAACCTAACCTTTTTATCTACAGTCTATTTTCTCACCTATACGGTGGGAATGGTAATAGCACTGAATTTAGAGTTGCTGAAGATTAATGCAAACGAGTACCTATAGTTCTTGGTGCACAGTAATCATGTATGTGGTAGTTTTTATTATTGCATCAGTCAGAGAAGCCTTCCAGAACAATTCTATCACATCTCCCTCCCCTTGCTTTACTTATTCTTGTTATTTGTTCATTTAGTGGTACTGAGGATGGAATCTAGGGTTTCATGTTTGCTAGGAAAGTGTTCCACCACTGAACACCATTTTATTTTTTTCTTTCAACCTTAACATGTAGTTTCAGGTTGGGGGAATAGCTCGATGGTAGGTTTGTCATGCACAAAGCCCTGGGTTCAAGCCCTTAGCACCACAAAAGTAAAATATAAGTGAAAGCATGGATTTTGACTGTTTTGTTCATTTTTGTGTGCCTCAAACAATATTTTGCTCATAATGGGTCTCAAATGTTTGTTAAGTAATAACAATCATTACAATAATCGAATATAACACTTGGTATAACAGTAAAAAAAACTCAGCACAGTGCTAAGAGTTTTTCTACCTCTAAACATATACATACACATACACATTGCAAACATGATTACAAACATGTCTTTTTTGAGATGCTTTTAGATTCAGACCTTGTCTTGCTTAGATGCAAGCTTCCATCTGAGTGATGACCCTTGCCCTAGTATTAGGATCTTCCAAGAGAAAATTTGGACCTCTTGTTTTAAACCTCCTTTCTCTGTGTCCAAGCCTGGTTATATTCCAGAAGAGCCTTGTGATTTGTAACTCTGGGCTTCTCACAGTGGGTAAAGTATGAACGGAAGTGGGCAGGAAATGTTGACAGATCCCAGGCTGTCCTCTTTCCTTTCTCATTGCCTCTTTTTTGGTTGACCCATTTCATAAATCTCTTACTGTCCAGCCAGCTAGAAGTTTCAGACCACAGAGGAGCTGGTCTGTGTTGCTGTATTGAAATGATGTCATGGAGGACATTTAAGAAGGTCTTATTACTAGGTGGTAGTTGTTGATGGAGATATTCCTTTTCAAGCGTTGTGCGGTGTTGTGTCTGTTCTTTGGGGAAGTCTCTTCCCCTTCCTTTCTCTTCAAGTAACTGTGGAACCAGTACCAGTTGGAAAGCTGGCAGCTCGGGGCATATGTTTCTAGGCTGCTGAGCAGTGCAGGACTGCTGCTGTGTTCTGATGTGAGAGCTGTCCAAATGTTGACAGCAGACAGAGGACTGGGAAGACTGACCTCCTTCAGCAGAAGGGCATTTAGTGCCTTTTTTTTTTCCCCCTAGAAAACTGCACATGGGGGTTGTTCTTTCCAAAAGTGCTGGTGACATTTGGAGTGAGATGCTGCTGTAGCAGAATGATGGAAGATACCTTAGAATGTTGCTAAAATTAGGCGTTCAGTCACGTCCTAGACAAGGGGAGGGCTACAACACAATATTTCAAGTGGTGGGAGAGGACAGATTGCCATTGCTCTTAGCAATACATTGAGGGGAACTTTGTGGAAAAGTGAGGTTTTGACAGGTAAAAGATAGGAAGGTGAGGCTGGGAAGGTGGCTCAGTGGTAGAGTACTTGCTTTGCATGCATGAAGCCTTGAGTTCGATTCCTCAGCACCGCATAAGCAGAAAAAGTTGGAAGAGGTGCTATGGCTCAAGTGGTAGAGTGCTAGCCTTGAGCTGTAGAGCTGAGGGACAGTGCCCAGGCCCAGGGTTCATGTCCCATGACTGACTGAAAAAAAAAGGAAGGTCAGCAAGACAGCCACCCAGTGTTCCCTTTACTCTTACCTTCAAGAGCTTGGTTAACATCATGCTATATGGGATCTTGACATCAAATCAGGCTTCTGATGCGTTCAGCTATAAGCTGTGTGCCTAACATGCACAGTTAGGGTTATGTAGAACATTCATTTAAGGGACCGAAGGACAGGAAGTGTTTTGTTGCTTTTGATAAGCTTGTGTTCTGGTGTAGCTCTGTAAATAAGAACTACAACCCAACTATATACTATAGTGCTGGGCCTGGAGAGCATCTCCAGAAGCTGTCTCTCTGTGGAACCTTCAAAGTTGCATCTGAGAAAGGACTCAGTACTATCTTTCTTGCATCATTTAGACACTAGGTATTGTTAGTGTTCCATTGAGAACCATATTCTAGATCCTATGGGAAGGCTGAGATATTGTACTCACTATTATAGTAAACTGCTTAACTAGAGTTCTGTAACATCCATCTAAGAAATGCCTTTGTAAGCTCAGGCTTGTTTTCTCTACCCACCTCTTTCTGTCTGTCTCGTCTATCTCCATCTCTCTCTCTTTGTCTCTGTCTGTCTCTCTTTCTCTCTTTCCGCCTCTCTCCCTCTCCCCTCCTCCCTGTCTTTCTTGCTCTCTCTTGGATTTGTTGGTATTGTTTTGTTATTTAGATGGACTCCATGCTGCCTAGGCTG